CCGAGTGAGGCATCTCACATCATTACGATCTCTGCCGAGTCGTACATGCACAATAGCTTCTCTGCTGAGGGTCAACTAACAGAAATGGCGGCATCCGACACAGCAGCTACGCGTACAAAAACATCTAAAGTTTGGGAGCATTCTGTCCAGGATTCGGCGAATAAAAAGATTACCTGCATTAATTGCAAAGCACTCCTTGCGTATCACGGCAGCACCTCGCTGATGAATGAACACTTATCCCTCCTTTCTACTGGAGCCGTCAGCAGCACGTTACTGCAGCAGCACGTCTTGCTCGCGTAAGCTACTGCTTGGCCCTTCCCACCAGAGACGCGTAGGAAGCAGTAGGGGAGCAGCTGTCACCGACAGAGCACGAAGTCACACGAGTGACTTTGTCAGTAAACACAACAACAAGCAGGAGAAAACTACAACATGGCTCCAAAAGGTTTGTGTTTTATGTTCTGTCCATTTTATAATCGCCAATACAGACCTGATAAACAAAGGAGACCGCTAGCTAGGTGATAACTTCTCACGGGGCCGCACAGTTAGTAACTTTTTTTTAAAGTAAAGCAACCGGAAGGCAGTACGTTTCTTTATTCTGAAAATCTCGGGAAGCTTTGCTCCGTTTCCATGTCCGATTTCCTGTCTTTCCTTCCCCAAAAATGTTGAACTTGACCTGTTTCATAGGTTTAGCACGTAGAAAATAGAACCAACGCGTAAGGGCTGCAACATGCCGCCCCTGAGACGCGGCCGACTCGCGCTGCTGACGGCTCCGGTGGAAAAGGTTCTGTTGACCACAGCGGTTTCTATCAGCAGCTATGACGTGCTGCTGCAGTAATGTGCTGCTGATGGCTCCGTCACGGCTCCGGTGGAAAGGAGGGGTTAAAGAGAAAGCACATCGAACAGTTGAATGAAATAGTCTGATACACTTCGGTAAGATTTAAATAACACAAAAGCCAATACGTTTTGTTTTGGATGTACATTGTACATTTTTTAAATGTATTTTTGCTTTTAAAAAAGAGAAATTCATTGTTATGCCTGACTGTGCCTGACAAAAGTATTTTAATTTTATTAATGCATTTATGTCTATACTGACTGAGCACTGTGCCTAATTGGTGTTAGACAGGGCATTTTTATTTACTTTTAGTATGAATTGGCCTTTCAGCAGCAAAGTTCAATAAAATATGCATTTTCCATTGAAGTACCATCTTTCTTGTGTTTATCATTTTTCACACAATTAAAGCAATCTCATGCAAAATTTAAGAAAAATTTAATAATTATCCGATTAGTCGACTAATCGTTTCAATAGTCGGTGACTAGTCGACTATTAAAATAGTCGTTAGTTGCAGCCCTAATGTGAAATCCATGGTACAAAACAAGCGGAATTGGAAAATAGCGTTTTTAGCCCCATTGACTTGCATTCATTTTTTTGTTCTTACGGGGACCCATGATGTGGAAGTAGATGGGCGTGACTTAGGCTCCCTATCCTAGTTGAAAATAATATTTTAGAGCAGATGTGCCTGATTTTAAATCGACTTTACAACAGTGGTATATTGGCCATTCCCAATGGTAAATATCAGCCCAATATATATATCGGTCTAGCCTTAGATTACCCTTTTCTAAATTCTTTTGTAATTTGTGAAACAACCGAGACAGAAAAGAGAGTTGGAACTGACCCACCACTGTTGCACCTCTGAGCCAGGTAACCGGGTAGACACAGTCAACTGGGTGAGCAGGTTGTATGAAGTGGGGGTGGGACTTGCTACCTCCACATTGTCCCTTCCCTTGTGTTACATGGTCTCTTGACTCTGCAGACGTATTGCAGATGTGTTTTGTAAGAAGTCCTTTTGTTTATTCAGTCTGAAATGGTCTCCATGCGTGTAAATCCACACTGACACATTCCTGAGCCTCCTCTGTGCATAAAGGACAAGATGCAGCAGGCCTTATGGGTTTGGATTAAATCTCTGTGGACTTGTTTGCTTTTTCCACAGGTGTAATCAGATTGTGAGAGGAGGGTTCAATCTGGATATGTTCTCCAGAGTCTACAAACCCTTGCTAAGGAGGTTTTGTGGGACCCAGCGCTCCCATGCTGAATGGAGGGAGCTAATCTGTAAATAAATATTCTTATGTGATGTGATAAATGGAAATCAAAAAAGATGCAACGGAGTTCCAAAAGAGTGGCTGTGATGGTTTCAGATGAGAAGTGTTTACATAGCAGCTGATGGTGTCCTCCTGCAGGGGACCTGCTGTATCCCAGGCATCAGAGTGAAGGGCTAACAATCTGCTGCAGCTCTAGACCTGGTGGCTCCACTCGTTTGTTTTCATGTCAAACAGTTTTTTTGTGTGCATGACAAAAATGACTTGAAAACTAGTCTAGCTAATTGTTTTGACAGTTTACACGATGCTGCCTAGCTGATGGTTGGTATGCTTCATAACAAATGTCCCCAAATTTTATAAATGTGTTATTTATTGTATAATATATGTGTCAGACTTGGGTGGTATACAAATTTAATACCGTCTAGCTTCTTCCACATTTTACCAAAGTGTACGGTATTACCGGGACTAATTTAAAATGATGACGTAAGCCTCAAGTAGACTTGCCAAACTGTTGGTTTGGACCTTCAGTGTTCAGAAACTGAATAAAGCCTCACACACACACACAAACACACACACACACACACACACACACACACACACACACACACACACACATATATATATATATATATATATATATATATATATATATATATATATATATATTGGGGATGCACGTTTTCCAAATTTTATTTAACCAGTTATTGATTAGGGATGTCCCGTTCCGATATCAGTATCAGAAGTAATTCGATATCTGCCCAAAAACAGTGTATTGGATTAAATCGGACTGCATTAAAAATCTCCGATTTAAGCAGTCCGTTAAGGTTCACATTTTTGCAACCAGTGGTTAAAAAAATTATTTTTTTTTCACACTCACTTCAATTCAATTCAAGTTTATTTATATAGCGTCAAATCACGACAAGAGTCGTCTCAAGGCACTTCACATAATAAACATTCCAATTCACAGGTCATTAAGCCAATCAGAAATAATGTTTCCTATATAAGGAACCCAGCAAATTGCATCAAGTCACTGACTAGTGTCAGTGACTATACAGCAATCCTCATACTAAGCAAGCATGCAGCGACAGTGGAGAGGAAAACTCCCTTTTAACAGGAAGAAACCTCCAGAGAATCCTGGCTCAGAATAAGCAGCCATCCTCCACGACTCACTGGGGATGGAGAAGACAGAGCAGACACACACACGCACGCACGCACGCACGCACACACACACACACACACACACACACACAGACAAGTAATGTGTCTATAGTTATATTGTGATGTCTTAGTAAATATTGTATTTGGTGAAAGATAAACTTTATTGTATTTATCCTAATGGATCTATAATTAAACTGATAAACTAGTATTAGCACATCAAAAGTCAAGGAAGCCAAAAAGTTATTATCAGGCGAGAGAGAATGTTTAAGTGGTTAGCAGCAGTGTGCTAGTCGATGGCCCCCTCCATGAGGCCACCACAGCTCAGCAGAACGTCGTTGTAGCTTCTTCTGGGGAGAAAAACACTTACAGAGAAAATAAAGTTAACAGCTGAAATTGCACAAAATAGTACAGTTAAAGAGTAGACTGTAGAAGAAAGCAGTAGAGTGTGAAAAGTGGTCAGTGTGTCCTCCAGCAGTCTAAGCCTATAGCAGCATAACTACAGAGATAACTCTGGATAATCTATCCTATTTAGATGTAGGCACTCACTTGGCTCTTGTTCTCCGTTTGAGTATTATCACTTGATCAAGCCTTTCATACATACAATATAGGTAAAAGTCTGTTTGATTTGTTCTGATGTCATATTGGATTGATATTGGTATCGGTCAATACAGAAGTCTGCAGTGTCGGTATCGTATCGGAAGTGAAAAAGTTGTATCGGGACATCCCTACTATTGATGCCTCTTAACGGTTAATAGCTGCTTAACCGGAAACCAACCGTTCGGATCCACATAGATTATTTCAATTAAAATCCAGTCAGAGATGGAGAAGTGATTAATGAAATAACTGATACTCAAACAACAGGAATCAAACCAGGTCAGCTTCATTAGCAGCATAAGATTTGTACATGTTGTTCTTTCTAGCAGGTAGGATGCTAATGACTAAGCTAAAGTCAGAGAGAGAATAAACACAGGTGGCAGATTAGTGCATACACACACACACACACACACTCACTGGAGATGAGCTGCAGAGGACTAAGATTACATTTACAGTTTTTTGTAGTCATGGAATATAAAACCAAACCAAACACACACAGCTGGTCTTTAGCTAGATAAAAATAGATATTTCTAAGGAATGAGTTGAGCTGGGAGGGATGAGTGACTTTAATGCTCTTGGACTGTCCAGCAGTCACAATTTTCAAATGAATAGCTCTGGATGAGCGGTGACATTTAGCAAACAAGATGGCCGAACACACACACACACACACACACACACACACACAAAAGTGAGGTTAGTGAGAAAAGTAATGAATAATGTGCAGCATATTTTAAATACACAGACCCATTTTGTGTGTCGTAACACCGGTTTGCTAAAAGGAAATAGCCCGGAGTGTGATGGAGGTGTGCATTAGAGAACGAGCTGAAACCTCCGTCGTCAGGGCTGACACCTGATTTGCTCGGCCAGCAGCATGCTTGCTTGAGAAAACCCACGCCTGCTGAGGCATCAGCTTCTACCCGGGCCCGTGCAGTGGACACCTACACAGCTGTCTCTGGATGTCTGAGGGTAGAGGTTGATGGTCAGAAGTAAAATAAAAGCATTCTGGTTTGTTTTGAGTGAACCTTGTGTTCTTTAGAAGAAACGCCTTCACACTCCTCGTGTTTGTGTTTCTGGTTCAGCATGGCTGTCGAGGCGTGTTCTCACCGTCACGGCCACACGCTTGAATGACTCAGCTTTATTTTTTGTGATTTCAGGTGGAAGCACGGCAGACTCTTGGTCTACATCTCTTTACCTGTCCCTGGTGGTGTCGCTGATGGTGCTGGTGGTCCTGGTGGCGGTGCTGGTGAACTGTGTGACCTGCTGCAAACAGAGAGAGATCGACTTTAAGGTAAAAGTTGTGGCAGGTGAAGCGTGAAATAGCTGTAATACAGGCTTCCTTTAATGATGTTTACTCAATTACCAAGTCATGTTTCTGAAGATTAAAACATCCCAGTTATCGTTGTTGTTATTGTAGGAGTTTGAGGACCACTTTGATGATGAAATCGACTTCACTCCACCAGCAGAGGACACGCCTTCTATCCATCCTCCAGCGGAGGTGTACACGCTGGACGTGTCCCCCGTCCCTCTGCCTGGACCCCCGCACCTCCAGCCTCTGGCCAGCATCACAGGTCAGATGAAAACACTTAAAAGGCTCAGCCATGTAAATGAATACTGGTAAAGTCATTAAAACATAAACACCAGTAGTGGATTATATTAGGCAGAGGCTGGTTTCCAGTTTAAAGATGTCTTTAAAACATCATGGTGTCAAAACGATCATTAAATTCCGTTTTAATGAGATGCCAGAGACAGTGCTGGGTCCTCCAGTCGTGTGGAGCAGACTCTTGAGCTCTTAGTTCTACTGTTTATCCTACAGATAGTTTTCATTGGCTGGGCTTTCCTTTTTCTTTTGTTATTCAAACATATAAACATTTAGTCCTGGATGTGTTGAGAAAAATTAAGGATTTGGGTTAAAAGTCTAAAGGACAAGTCTGGCAATTAAACATCAGACGCATGCAGCCGGTGAGTGGGCGGGGCATTAATTTGGTTCATCCGTTTGGTGTCACAGAGGCATCCGCTGGCTTCAAAGTCGGACGCCACAGTCTGAGCTACATCCAGGAGCTTGGCAACGGATGGTTTGGTCAGGTAAGGTTGAAACGTTTTATTTCCTCTAAGGAGCTGCAGATGTAAAATATCTCGTTCAACTCAGCAGGTTTCAGCAAGAGTCTTTCATTTTGAACCATCAGGTCCTTTTGAGTGAAATCTACACAGATCCAGGAGGAGCCAGAGTGGTGGTGAAGGAGCTAAAGGCTAATGCCAGTGCTAAGGAGGGGAATGACTTTCTGCAGCAGCAAGGGGATCCATTCAGGTGAATGAACATCCCTTTTCATCACTTTTCTTCTTTTTTCTCCTTTAGCATATGAATTGGTTAACATGACTGTAATAATAATAATAATAATAATTGTAACAACTGCTCAAAGATGCTGAATGTGTGGCTGGATAGGGGAGTCTTTAGTACTTTCATGAATTCTTGCAGCGAGTCAGCAGCACGGATGTGTTGAGGGTGAGTGTTTCGGGGGGGAGCAGCCATGGAAAAAGCTCTGTCTCCGATGGTGCGGTGCTTTGATGTGGTCACCTGAGATTGGAGGCAGAGGATCTGATCTAATGCCGTTTACAGCTCCCTCTACCTGCAGCAGCTGAAAGACCCTGAAACCTTTGATTTATAATTCTTGTTTTCAGAGTGCTGCAGCACCCGAACCTCCTCCAGTGCCTGGGACAGTGTGTCGAGGCCATTCCCTTCCTGCTTGTGTTTGAATACTGTGAAATGGTGAGTGACTCGGGCCCTTTGACATCCCCTTCAGTGTAGTTGCCTGCTTTGTGTCTGACATTGTTACGTCCCCGACATGAGATGTTAAAAGTGTGAAGGAGGGGGAGAACATAAGAACTGGTGGAGGAGTTTAAAATGGGTTTATTTGTACAAAAAGGTATTAAAACACGAGCAAAACTGATTTCTCAAAAAGGTTAACGTTACAAAGCGCATTATCAACTATAAAACACCTGGTAAAAACTTATGTTAAAAGTTTTGCCGCAACGAAGGTGTTTTAAAATCCTGAAGTTGATAAAAGTCTAAAAACCTAATCCAGCCTGATAATCTCACATATTTGTAGGCCATGACCCCTTAAGACCCCTTAAGAAAGCTAAAGAGTTGTTCCCTCCTCCACACTAAAGTGGCCCACACGCCCATCGTGGCCACTGATTCAGTCATTTTTTTTCTGTCCAGGGTAGACCGATCGCTGACTGAGGGGAGCTCCCATTCCCTCCCTCCCTCCCCCTCTAATCTCCTCCTTCACCACAGTTACATAGTTACAGTAAGCCTGGGACTTCTCACATTCCCACCTCACCCAGTAAAGCAACAGGCTCCATTTACACTCCTCTGGTGTCATCTCCACCAGTTGCTGTGTTTGTGCATTTTTATGGCCAGAACCTTGTGGTTGTTGGCGACTGCTGAGTGCATTCTTGAGAAAACTTGAGCTGCTCCTAAAGTAACCCTCCAGTATGGGAAACACCAGCCTGATCTTTTAATTCATCTCTGCATAAACCGCTCATTTTAGTTTTAAAGGAAAATCTCTTAATGAGGGACATACACAGGCTTATCCAGTCTGGTGAGAGAGGCTTCCTTAATGAGGAGAAGTGTACATTTCTTCAGACGTTGCGTCATCATGTTGAGGGTTTGTGTCAGCTGCCCAGACCTGGCACTTGTTCTGACATTGTGGTCCCTCTCAGCCAAGCTCCAGTAATCTCTCTGACAGCACATGGAAATAAGTCAAGGTGCGCCGCTTGCCACAAGTCATTAGGGAGAATGGCGTGATGAAGAGCAGGTCTTGGTGATAATGTGTGAGGGAGCACAACTGAGTGATGTTTGTGCTTGTTATCCCTCTCTGGATGAAGGATCATCAGGGTGTGTAGGTGGATCTCGGTTTGTGTTAACTTGAACTTTTTCAAACCCGCTGCAGTGACGTGACATAAAACACAACTTCCTAATGGGCCGTTACTGTTGGCAACCATTTGAAGATGCTAAAGTGACATTGTGTAGTTTCCTGGCACTAGGGGGCAGTACGTACATTTCAGAGTGTTTTTATTGCATGTCGCCGTAACCGTTGCTAGTTTAAAAAAAGTTACGTGCGACCTCGTCATGACTCCTCAGACTTTGATGGTCATTCAGTTAACACCATCGAGAGAACGCAATGCAAATGCTAATTTTCAGGTGGTATAAGTTCCAGATCTTCTCGGGGTCTTGCGCCTGCCAATGACATCATTATACTACATCAATACCACTCTGCCAAACTATATTAGATCTCTTTTTCAAATCTGTTCTTTCACATTGGTTTTGTGAAGAGTTTAGCAGTTTTGTTTTTAAATTTGTGTTTCTTATTGCCTGAATGTTTTTAAAAGCGGTAACGTCACTTCCGTTAATCATCTAGTGTGAGGTCATCGACAGGCGCGGGACCCAGAGCTGGCCAAAAGGAAACATGGCGTCCCTCAAAGATGCTGGACCCATGCCCTATGTACTTTAGGCCCAGTTTCTATGGTTATATGTTACAAAGCTGCCAATATATTTCTACAACTGGACAATTTATTTATTTTCAACAATATTTTGACGGATATTTCCAGAGATTAAAAGTAAAAAGACACATTGTCACTTTAAATTAATCTTAAACATAGTTAATTATAGTAATTAAGATAAATGAGAATCAGCTGAAATATGTATCAGGTGGAGATGCGCCAACATGACATTTTTGGACCAATACCAATATTTGCCGATACCGATATACTGTACTGACATAAATGCTTTTAAAATCAGCAGATTTTGTATAGAATGAAAATGATTAAAGTTGAATTTACGTTATTATCTACACACAGCACACTCATTTACGCTTCTGAGATGATTACAATCACTAACACGTGACTAAAACAAATCCCCCCCCTCCCTCAATATCGGGCCATCTCTGCACTTTATCTTTTCTTTACTGACTGTTATTACAGTTTGGCCAAATATGACCGACTGCTAATTACAACGTGGCAGATTTCTCGACAGGTCCTGAGACAGTTTTGTTCTGTGCAAAGTTTTCAGACATGTTAAGAGTTCCAGCGACATGGGAGCAAGGCCCTGAGACTCGCTCCAGGAACATCAGATCTTTAGCAAACGTTTGCAAACATCGTGGAAGCTCCCTCATAAATGACGTTCGCAGGTTGTCACCAGCAGGCACAGCCCAGTGAGAGCCTGCTGTTGCACATTCTAGTGACATGTTATGTGAAAGTTCAGCAGCGGGACGGAGCCAGAACCTTCGTCAGACTCCTCTCTGGTTCAGGCGCTCCCGCAGGAGCCAGCCAAGTCGTCCCACAGTTAAACCACAACAATTAGTGGATTTATCTCTTTGGTTACAGACAGACTGTAACATGGAGCATTAAAATTCACATTGGATCACTTCAGGATCATTATCTGTCTTAGAGCCGGCTTCATCGATGGTAATTGTTAAATTATTGGCAGCATTTAGCGTGTTTGGCCCTTATGGAAATGAGACAACAGTTAATTTGCTCTGCGACTGAACCGGCACTAAAAACAAACCTGTTTCCATTTGAGTTTTCCTTCTTTTACAGCTTGATAATAAGTTCATTTAGTTAGTTCACTTTTATTTTGCAACAGCAGTTTCCTGGAATCCAGATCGAGTCACCTGCTGCAGACATGCCCAAATAAATATAGACACACACACATACACACAGTGTCGTTTACCATACCTTTAATATAGCTCTTCAGTGAAGACCGTTTCCCAGAGTTGTCCTTGTGCGTGCATGCGTGCGTGTGTGTGTTTTCATGCAAACAAGCCAAATAAAACTTAAGATGAAATAGCTTAAGGAAAAGGAAACCCTTTGTAAATGGCAGCCAACACGCAGTTTACATTAGTGTGGCCTGGCATTAACTAAAGGCCTATGACTAGTGTGTGTGTGTGTGTGTGTGCGTGTGTGCGTGTGCGTGCGTGCGTGCTCTTTACAGGTCATTCCTGAGGGTTGATGCATCCTGCCAGCTGATTGAGGAAGTCCCTCACTTTGACTTAAAAAGCAGCTTCAAGCAAAATGTTTCTTTTTTGGAACATTAAGAGAATCAAAGGAAATGTTTTGAAAGCACTTAAATGTTTAACAATGCTAGAAAATTATACAGAAATGGGTTTTCTACAGTAGCATTGATGGTGCTTTACTAAATCCAGAATGACATCATGAGGGAGTTCCCAAATCTCTGCTGACCCAAAAGAGGACAAAAACCTGTCTCACATTTAACAAAAATCTTTTGATGTTTCCGCAAACTTTTGGTAAAAACTGGTTAAGCAAAAGTGTGACTTTTGGAAGGTTTGTGTCCCGTTACCTCTGGTGTAAAACAAACGCGGCTCTAAAGGAACATCATGGCAACAGTCAGGCATGGTGGTGGTTAGTGTGATGTTCTGGGCTGCTTGGCTGCTTCAGAGACGGGACCACTTGTAACTGGTAGAACCATGAATTTTGCTCAAGTAGACAATCCTGGAGGATGTCTGACCTTTGACCTTAAATAGGCTGTTTATGCCGAAAAGCCCTCTATTGTAGCTGAATTAAAGTAATGGACTAGTTGAAAGTGGAATTATGACTGTTGTAAACAACACTGGAGTAGCTAGCACTAACAACGAGCTAAAACAACAAGCTAATGCTAAAATAAACCACCAAGTAAAAAGATCCACATTGTTGAACAAAAATATTACAAGTCCAGAAGCAACAAAGCCAGGTCACCATCAGCTTGTGATTTAGTAGCCTCCTTTTAGCGCCCTCCACTAGTGTAGACCGTGCAGATGTTCACTTCCCTTTTTACTCTTTGCTTCGCCTCTAAATATATTACTCTTACCTTTACTTCCAGGCTCCACCTTAATGCCATAACTTCTTTTACTTCTCTTTGTGCTTTTTATTGACGATTGGTGAACTGACAGAGCTAACTGCTAGCATAACAGCTGTAAAGCAGGTAAAGAGCGCCCCAATAGGACACATACCCACCCACAGAATTGTTAGGTGCAGCATCTGGCCAGCAGAGGGCTGCAGAGTGGTGTCAAATGTCAAACTGGTCAAGTTTCCAACTCGGCAATCACTGAGATCAATGTTAAAACTCTAATAACTATTTTGTGTTACATTAAAGCAATTCTGTGAAGCAGAGTGGATCAGAACTCCTCTGCTGTAAGTGCACGACTCATAAATGTGTAAATCATCACCATAGTTAGGTGTGGGACAGACTTTGAAAGTGCTTTAATCTGTGACCAACCCTGGAGGTTCTGCATTATACAAGCAGACGGGGAAGTCTGATAGATTTCACTGAATGACAGCCACACATGTGACGAGCAGCAGCTCACAGCTGAGATCGTGTCGAAACACATATTTACAGTCTCTCTGGCTTACCGACCAGAGGTTAACTATTTGTACGCCACGTGATTGACTCCTCGCTGCTCTGTCGTCACGCTGCTCTGCTGAACCACAGCATGGTGCAAGCGTCTGTTTTTAATGTCATTGAGGGTTTAATCCTTAAAAAACACCAGTAACGGCGTCTCATCCTGATCTGAGCCTGACTCTTATTTATAAATCTCAGTGACGCAATGGTGTCACCCTTATTTGGCTGTTCTACACTGATGAGAGGAGAGGAGGGGGGAGTGCTGCCCCCGTGTGGCTCTTTCATCGCACTGCATTTTAAGATGCGCTCTGAGGAAATAATAAAGCGAATGATTGATCTGACGTCGCTGAGCTAATTGTGTGGGTCTGTGTGCTTGCAGGGGGATTTGCGGAGTTTTCTGTCTCAGCAGGACTGGACGTTCAGGAGCGCTGATTTGCTGCAGCTGCAGAGGATGGCCTGTGAAATCGCTGCCGGCGTCACACAACTTCATAAACACAACTTCCTGCACAGGTAGCGCTTCAGAGCTGCTACACACAATTAAGCACACGGAGTTTGGATCTACGGTGCTAAGCAATGTGTGCAGAAATGCTTACCCTGCCAATGACACCAGACAGGAGAGTGTTGTCTTTTAGTAGAAAGCAAACTTTAGGGTTTATTTAAAAAGTTGAGGGGATGTTTTATAATTAATTAAATGATATAATCTCCATTATCATAATGACAGCTATGAAAATGGATCCTCCTGTCCTGATGAAGGCTAGCCACTCTGCATGATAAACAAATAAATTGTCAAGCTGTGTACCTGTCACGAGCTGAGTACACAGTCATAAACGTTGTATGAAATGATTATGAAGACGTGGGTCAACTGTTGGTTTTTCTTACATGCTGCCTGTCCAACCAGTCTCAGGAGTGCCAGTGTTCTCCAAAAAAGGGGCGTGCAGCAGCGAAGCTGCGCCTCATCTTCATTTTTACCCCGGCCAGGACCGGATCTCTGGCACCCGGCCAACGGGCGCAATAGCAGGCGGTGTTGGGGGCTCGGCGCATGTGGGTAACATACGACGCTCGGCTCATCAGCTCTATTCTGCATGCTCAGAATAAGCTCCAAGGGTTCCAATTACACAGCTCCCATGCATTGCCACAGTGTCAGCTGTCTTCTGCCAGAGGGATATGATGATTCTGCTCTTTGCGTGTAAACGGATATCCTCATATTGGGCGTTGTTTTAATCCTTGTTACAGTTCGAAGAGTGCTGCAATCTTCACTCTCTGGACTTGTTTTTTATAGCCCCAGAAAAACAATTATTTGATCGATTTATCCCCCCTCCCCCAAACAGAACGAAACGGTGAAACTTTGTGATTGAGGATGTTTTCACATGCTGCTAAAGCTGCAGGAGGCTGGCTTTGGTGCAGAGACGGAGACCCCCTGTGAGTGTAGCCCAGGCTAAACCGCCTCCCAGAGCCAGTTTAACTCTTCAGTTAAAATCTGTTTTTGTTGTTTTCTAAGCTTTATTTTGATTGAAATAATGTTTTTTAGGCTTTTTTATCACGAGAAGAATGGTTCCTGCATGATGTCACCCTCTGGTTTGTGAGCTGCCATTTGAAACCTTGACTTTAGCATTCGTCCGTCACCACCTTGGTCCCTTTACAACCAGAAGTGACCATATTAGGCTGGAGCGGTGGAGCTGAAGAGTGTTATCTGAAGTGTGATTGGGCAAAGATCAGATTTATCGAACCCTGATATCGGCCTAGTTAGAGAAATGAATTTCAGCCAAGCCTCCGTGGCACTGATCAGGAGCAACACTAGCACCATAGTGATTTAGGTTCATCAGGATTTATTAGCGTCTTTTAACTTTTATCTCTCTCCATCTCTGTTAGGAGAAAGCTTTATTTTGATGGAGATTGATAAGCTAACGGCTAGAGTCAGCTCTTCCAGAACCAAAGTGTATTACCCTTAGAAAACAGCTGCGTTTTCCTAAGTTTTAAAATATTTCTGGCAGCTTTTACTAATCACTCTTTTTAAATAGAACATATTTTTGTTTAAATCGTGTTAAAAGCAAAACTTTTCTGTTTGTTTCTGCTGCATGTGGCATAACCAGGACCGGCTTGGTTTCTCCTGCGGCTATGCACAAGTTGACCTGAACATGAAAACACACGTGGTGTGTGTTGCTGTTTTAGTGTCCTGTTGGTTCAGACGGGCTGGTCTCCCTCAACCAAACTCCTTTTCTCTGAGGTTCGTTTGTAGGAAGAACAAACATTTGATTAGCTGGTGGTTATCAGCACCCTCACGCCGAATCAGAAAACAGCTGCACTCGTTTCCTCCTCATCACTTCAGGAGTGCTGCTCTGTTTCATTTGCTCGTGTATTTTATCCAGAACCAGCGTCCCTGCTGGTGTTGAGCTGGATGTTCTAACGTCAGCCAGCAGCCGAGGACAGGAGGGTTTAAAATACAACTTCATCTGTCATACAGAGGTTCCAGAGGGTCTGACAGTAGTTGATCCACTGTGCACTCACACTCACACTCTCACAAGGATAGTAGTGTCAGCAGTGTTTGTCATTGGGTGCTTTAAAAAGGACTCAGTTCTGCAGGGCCAAGGGGAACCCAGAGCCTGCCTCCTGAATGAATGAACCGCCATATGTCCGTTTAATGCCTTGGAGCGTGTTGCGCCCTCTACCGGCAGAACCGCAAAAGCTGCACAATGCGCCCCCACCCCTCCCGAAACCACATCCTGTTGTTGTGCGTACGAGTCTGGAATAGCCCGTCTGGGTGTTGTTGCAACGTGATGAGCAGGAGGAAATGTCAAGGCTCTTGTACTGATTTCCTGTTGATGCTTTCATCATTAGTGGTCCTTGGACACCCCCATCTTTGTCTGACTCACTAGTGATTTACATCCTAATGTGCCTCATTCATACAAATGTGCAGGTTTAAAACACGGAAGGGTTAAAGCATCGCATATCTACCTGAGAACTTTGGTAATCGTGACCTTTGCTAATGTTTTATTTATTTGTTTATTTTTGTAGTGATTTGGCTCTGAGGAACTGCTACCTGACTACTGACCTTACAGTCAAAGTGGGAGACTATGGTATCGGACCCTACAGATACAAAGTAAGAACAAAGATCGTTGTAATTTAAATTTCATCTGAGCTTATATTACATGTATTACGTCCAGGACACGATTCAGTCACACGTTTGAGATGTGAGCAGCTCGGCTTGCCTGCAGCTCTGAAAAACGTTCAGAGGAAGAAAAAGGGTAAAACCTGCATCTTGGTGCGATACGTGATGCTAAAGCCAGCAGGAGCTCTGATGTCGTAGGTCAGAGCCTGGTGTTGGTTTCCAAAGATACGTTGACGTTTTATTAGTCACCACAATTGGTAAAAAGATTATTTGTGTTTTCCTTCTCTGGCTTTGTTTATGCCATCTGTCTAACAAACTTTTGCTCCACTTTCAAAGCTGACACACCTCTTAAGGCTAATGTTAACCAGATCATTCCATCAGAGGCTAAACCGTTTCCTTTCAACAAACGTTACTGATGGATTCCCATTGTCCTCTCTGTAACGTGATTTCCTGTGTACGTCCTGAGCCCATGGGTTTGCTGCATTCCTAGAAAACTGCTGAGCTGTCAGATAAGCTGTTTGACTGAAATACTCATAAGAGAAGGTCACCCAGTGGATCTGTTTCTGTAAGAACTGGAGGCGATGTTGGAGTGTGCTTCATATTTAGACGGTGTTCCTTTAGACAACTTTATAGCATCTTAAATAATTGACTCCTGTTCCTGTAGGAGGATTACATCATCACAGAGGACGATGTGTTTGCTCCTCTCCGGTGGTTGGCTCCTGAGCTGGTGGGGGAGCGTCACGGGGGAGTCGTCGCTCTGGAGCAGAACAAGGCCGGCAACGTGTGGTAGGTCTACAGCATCAGCTAACCAGGGTTTATCCTGGATCGAATGCAAATGCATACTCTGGTGGTGGTCGGAGGGACTGGTGGCGCCAGTGCTCTGCAGCCTCGCCGCTGTCAGTGCGCCCCAGGACAACTGCTACTTTGTGTGTGAATGTGGGTGTGTGCGAATGACCGATGGTGTTGTATAGGGCCTTGGGGGGTTGTAGAACCCTATAATGTACTGTATTAAATACAGGTCATTAACTGTTTCCAGAACCTTTAGAGGTGTGATGTTCACTCTCAAGGTGCACAAGCTCGTTGAAAAAACACAATAATGGCAGCAGGCAGTTGTATTTAAAACCACGACTTTAGTCGTCAGTGAGGAAAAGGGAGGGTTTATGCTCCACGAGGACTAAAATTACATTTTTATTTTATTAAAGAACTGTTAGTTATTTTATAGTGATGTGCTGGTCTTGATAAGCCGCGGTGCCGCAGCTAAAACGTCACCAGTAACAGTTGATGCTCACGTTTTCTGTAACGAATCTGTTTTTTGAACTCCACCAACTGCTCAGTATTGAAATAAAAAAATAAATCAGTTAATCAAGCAGATTAATAAAATAACCAAGTATTAAATGTACAAATAAGACGAAAGGTCAGCTGACAGCAATGTTTTAGGGTGTTTATTAAACATGTTTTTAAGCAATGTGTGTTCACTTTTATATAAAATCCTGCAGCAGCACCGGGCTGTCTACAGAAGTGCCTGACTTTAAATCGGCTCTACTAATGCAGATGTATATAAAAACGGTACATATGGGCCCCAGATATTGGTCTGTCTCTAGTGTCGATCTGCATCAACAGAACACTGGAGAGACAAACTAACCGTGTAAACGTGGACGGCACAAGATCACTCTGGGGGCTGTAAATGGTTTTGCTCCACTCACCAGTTCAAGCCTCATACAAACCTGATAACCCCCATCAATAGTTTGATTTAAAATGTTTGCAAAGTAAATAAAAACTCTAAAGTTTATAATAAGTGTTTTTCTACTTGCATTTTCCTCGTTTCTGTCGTGTCGTGCGTCGGGATACGAGTAGCGGGGTTGTTTCCGTAGCGTTTAAGTCTTCTGCACTTGACCTCAGCAGCTGTTGCTTCCGTGTTTGCTTGTAGGGCCTTAGGGGTCACATTGTGGGAGCTGTTTGAGAATGCTGCTCAGCCTTACCCCCACCTGTCTGACCGGGAGGTCCTGAACCATGTCATCAAGGAGCAGCAGGTCAAGCTGTTCAAGCCACAGCTCGAGCTTCCTCATTCTGATAGATGGTGAGTCTTTGAAACCGATGATCTTATTTTACGTCACCGGTGCTGGTAGATTATGTCTGGAGGAGGTGTGTTTGTGTGTGTGACTGCAGGTTTGAGGTCCTGCAGTTCTGTTGGCTGTCTCCAGACAAGAGGGCCACGGCAGAGGAAGTCCACCGTTTGCTCATCTATCTACGCATGCAAGGCCAAAAGGACATAGAGGAGGACTTTGATCAACGATGGGACGCGCTGAAGCCGAACACATCCACACGGCAGACTGTTAGCCATTCCTCTTTCCCAATACTGGAGCAGTTTGCTGATGACGCCCTGCGACAAGAGCTAGACGAAGTTCTAACCATCACTGAAACGAGCAAAGGTTTAAATTTTGAGTACGTCTGGGAGGCAGCCAAGCAAGAGCACTACGAAGGAAACCACGGAGGCTCGGGCGTGGACACAACACTTAACTACCACAGCATGTTCTTTCCTGCTTCCAGGGAAGACATCCAGGCTCATTTCCCTGATCCTTTAACCGGGGCAGCGGGCGCAGGAAGTGGGAACACTCCTTCAGGAATTCCTGGGATCGTACCAGTGTTTGATCCACAGAAGTCACCCAGTGGGAATGAATATTACATACAGCTGGAGGAACAAGGGGGCAGTGCTTTGGGCCAGTATGACAACGAAGGGCAAGACATGGACTTTAATTCAAACCAGAAAGAGTTTGTGGTTCTTCAGGATGCCCGTCTGGATGAGTCCAGCACAGACGCCGACTTCTTCCACCAAAGCATCGACTCAAAGGACTCCTATCTTCCCGATAGCCACATCTGGTCGTCGCTTGAGAATGACAGTCCATACCACCCCAACATTTTCACCGAAGACGGCGCAAAACGAGAGGACTCTCCTTCCTGGGGGCAGAACTTCATAGAGCTTCCGGAGCATGGCGGGAATCCTTTCCATGAACAACTGAATCCAAGTCGGAGCTATGTGGACACTTTTTTAGAGGTTCCCCCTCCCCTGCCGGGTTTGTTGGAGGGGGAGGACAGCAGTGTGAAGAGGCTGACCGATAACTTTATGTTTCTGAGAGACCAGAACCTGATGAAACAAGGCTCCAGCTTCTTGAGTTCTCAGCAGAATTTTCTTTTACCGGGATTAGTCCACGAACCAGAGGAAGCGTTCAAAATGAGGTCTTGGGACAATCTAGAAACTTTAGGCAGCTTAAACACATCCGATGCATCCTTTAAACCCGCAGCCAGTAGCACATTCTCAACACAGGAACTTTTAGACCCTCGGAGCACCAACTTGGGGCAAAATGAACTTCTGTTGCCTTCTATTACAGTGGTCTCTGACGACAACACGAGCAGCCAGCTGCCAGTTAGAAATGGTTCTTCCACCGAAAGTCTGCTGCCTTCCTCCGACAGGTGTGTCGACTCGGGCTTTGATTCTACCTCAGAGAGGTTTGAGCTCGGCGGCGGCGAAACGGACGGCCACACCCCCACGCGGTCTGACAGTGCCATAACAGACTCACTGTGCACACATGCCAACATTCCCAACCTTGAAGAGGACCTGGAAGCCTCCAAGGTCCTAGGAGATAAAATGTTCGAGAACCTGGCAGATCCGGGATTGTCGTTGGAAAACGGGCAGAACGAAGACCTGACGAGTAACGATCTGCTGAGTGAGCTGATTGAGGATGCCGATCTGGATCTAGAAACCAACCTCTCTGATCAGGAGGAGTCCTTCATGGACACCAACGGACACTCTCCGTTGAGGTCCTCACTCCTGGTCTCTGGGCCATCTCTGGATCAGATCAGTCAGGACAGTTTGTTGGAGGACAGCGCGTCCGCAGCTGTCCCAGCTTTAGAAAATGCAGCAGAAACCCCGGACTCTTTGGACTCTCTTGACATACATCAACTCGGAGAGCAGGGAGAGGAGCTGAACGCTCCCACATCTCAACACAAGCTTCTGCCTCCGTATAAAATCTCTGACAGTGGGTACGAGACGGAGAACCTCGAGTCTCCAGAGTGGAACTCCCTGCCAACTGTAGAGGACGGCTCCCCTGTAAAAAATGGCATCAGCATCACCAAAGAAGAAGACTCGGAAGATCTGACAGCTTTGACAAATTTGGTTCCCCCAAGGATCGTCATCTCTGAAGTAGAGGGTTTGCCAGATTCTCCCAGTGAGGATCAGCAGCCAGACCCTGTAGCTCCTGCAGAGGAAAATCCCACAAGTAGCAGTTATCGAGACTCCGCCTACTTTTCTGACAATGAATCAGAAATGGAGAAGAAGTCTGAAGAATCAACAACGGTGAAGGCCGTAGAAGACACGTGGCTGAGGAACTCTAGAGAAACGGCTCTGGAAGCTTCCAATGAAAAATATGTTGATGCTTTATTTTCCAAGCTTGGACAAACGTCCTACATGCATGCAGAGAACGTTCCTCTAGAGGCGGAACGTCAGAGGGAGGTATGGGAGGTACATATGCCAGACCTCCTCAAAGATGCATTTTCTGATCATTTGAGTTCATCAGGAGATCCAGAAACCTCGTCTGCTGCTGCTTCATCAGTGCCAACACCAGGGGGCGCCGTTCATCCCAAACTAACCAGGACTTATGCCAGCGACGGGCATAAAATCAAAGAGCCCGATGTGGAGGGGCGGTACCTGGGCAGGCGGGACGGTCCCGGTCTAGCCGGACTAGAAGATGGCGTGGATGCTGATGAGGAGGACGAGAACAGCGATGACTCGGACGACGACGTGCGGGCGTACCAGCTGCACAGCTCCAGTTCAGAAAGCGAGGATGAAAACGAGCACACAGTGCCGATCATCGTGTCTGACGACAGCAGCTCAAAGAACCTGAAGAGCTTGCTGAAACCCACCACCCTGAACACCAGAGCATCACCCACCACCATTTCTGCCGAGAACTCTAGAAGAGCTGTGTCTTTCTTTGATGATGTCACCGTCTACCTGTTTGACCAGGTAATGACTCATGAGAGGCATACACCTGCACCTGTTGAAGTGCTGTTTTAATTATGCTCTGTGATTTAGGAGACTCCTACTAAGGAACTAGGAGACCACTCCTCAGGCTCCAGCAGCCCCGTTTCTTCTTCCAGCTATCTGAACCGCTTCGCTAACTCTGAAAGCTCAACAGACGAAGAAGGTAAACCAAAAACACAGCTGCCCCACATGGAGACGTTACACATCTTAATGTGTTTATTACTCCTCTCTCAGGTGGTGGGTTTGAGTGGGACGATGACTTCACCTCCCCTTCACCCGCTTTCCGGCCCAAGACGGAGCAAGTCCCCGTCTCTAAGGTGATTTCCTCCACAACGCCGGCGGTCAGCCGAGGGCTGGAGCCCAGCTGGAGCAGCTCCTCAACCTACTCCCGCTTCTCCATCTCACCAGCAAGCATCGCCAGCTTCTCCCTCACACATCTGACCGACTCCGACATCGAACAAGGAGGCAAGTCCTCACATTCATTTAATGTCCTTATTCCTTAAAGAGCAAGTTCACTGGGACATCGTTTTTTTGCTTGTTATTTTTTAAATATAACGGGGTCACTCTGAGTTTCACATATAGGCTAAAATAGTCTTCTACCTCTGTTTCATTATTTGTTAGCCGCTGATGGACAATAGACGGGAAAACTAGTGACAATGACACGTCATGTTGAAAGTTAGCAGTCATGGACTCGCCCATCGTGGTTCGCGACGGGGAAGGCTGCAATTGGTTTAGCATCCAGGAAACAGCAGAGGACGCCTCTGCTAGTAGGAGCTAACAGTTAGCATTACCAACTCCACCACATGGCAGAACTCCTCCAGGCTTGTGTTCTTTGTGGAGCTAAAACATCAACGTTACAAGTCAGTGGTAGAGTCGTGTTGCTGTTAGCCAATCAGAGGCAAGATTATTAAGAAGATCCTGCTGTTTTCTTCTCCTCATTCTTCTGTCTAACTTCTACTTCCTGAAACAGGAGCGCCAGAGCGTTTTTCCCACAGAGATCGACTCACGAGGAGTCGATTTATACTAGAGACCACTGTGTTGAGAATCAAGTGAACTTGGTCTTTAATGTTGCTTATTAAAATGTAATGATTGCTCAGACAGCTGTTGTCACACACACACACACACACACACACACACACACACACACACACACACACACACACACACACACACACACACACACACACACACACGGCAGCTCCTGCTCTGTTGCAGCTGAAAAAGCTACTGATCCAGTCGAGACACGTTTGTCTTTATAAAATGCCAGATTTACTAAACTTTTATACCTTTCTTCTGTCCTCTCTAGGAAGCAGCGAAGACGGAGAGAGAGACTAGTCCGTGTTATCGTGACACTACTGAATAACGGAGCTAAACCCGGCCTCCGCGGGAGCGGCTGAGTAGACGGATCGTGTGGCGTTCTCCTCTCAGGCACAGCTCTGCTCAGCTGAGCTGAGTGTCCGTTCTGGTCCTGGTCTGAGCCACACCCCCTCTCCAGCTCCACCTGTGTGTGATTTCAGTTCAGTTCAGTGCAATCGCAGTTTGGAAGAACCAATAAGGAAAATAATACCAGTAAAAATGGAAGTAGCTTCTGAATATATGCTCATTCCAGGTGTGTTCTTTTTTTAAGTGCACTCTTTTACCAGAACTTTTGCTTCACAAAAAAAGGGGGAAAAATCACTACACATCCCAGTGGACTGGTAAAGGTAATCACTACAACAAGCAGGAATAAGCTCTTTGATCTCAGCAGGAAGGTAAAGCTTAGTATTTATCACTCGTTAGTTTGCTCCTTCTTCTTGTGCGATTATTTCAGTGGTTGCCTTTTTTAATCTTTTGGGAAGGATTTGTTGTTTTTGTCATTTCCTGTTGAGTTGAAGCGATCTCCTACCTGAAGAGGACCCTCACGTGGAGTCCTTCTGTAGCGGTGTTTGAGGCTAAAGGTTGTAAATGTGGACGCCGGCGGCCTGCAGGGGCTGTATTCTCCTTCATGGTTGAAAGGAACTTCTACGCTGAAGCTGAGGCGTATTTTTGAGACTTCTCTGTGAAGAACGTCAGGTGTAATAATTTATGGTCCAACTGTAAAACAGTTATGGGGAAAAAAACAACTTCTTGTTGGTTTAAGAATTTTGGAAAGCTGTGTTTTTGTGTGAAACGTGCAGGAAGTCTGGTGTTGTCTCTGATTTGTCGCTGGATCTGATCACGGTGCCCGCTGATGCTGCAAAGACAGCTCCTTCCCTCCATTTAATACCACTACACAAAACTATGAACTTGGTGAAATGACGGGGAAAATAATTAGGGAGGTTTAATTTTTTAAAATGCCAGCATGTCCGGGTGTTTGTAAACGTGCAATGAACTTTGGCGGATGAGTTTAGAGTTTGTAGGATGATCCGTGCTTTGGTGCAGACGGGTGAGAACTCACTACAACAAAATCATTCAAACTTAGTTTTCACCTGAAAATTTCACCAGCCTAAAAAATCCTATCCGGTGTCATTAGAGCATTTCATGTCTATAAATCAGAGTTGGTTTGTGATCCGTCTACTTCTGTCCAACAAAAATGGCTAAAAATGAATCCTGAGTTCTTGGTTTACTATCATAAACTATGAAACTGTAGCTTTTACAGTTACTGCAAAGAGCTTTTCCTTCAATATTCATCACTGATGTCCATCAGCTGTAGTAGACCCCCACCCCGCCTGACCCCTGACCCCTTAACCTGACACTAACATTGGAGAGATGGTTCAGAACTTCAACAGTGGGTTTCTGCTGAGTAATTATGAACGATTAATATCCTACCTGTCGTAAGAAGTGCTTTAATGACCCCAAGTTTAAACAAGTTTAATTCTTACAGGATTGAAGAGCTAAATTTCAAAAATTTCAGAGCAATATGTGGGAGCTGTTTTCCTACGCTTCGTATTTCTGTCGGCTGATATATTTTGTGGCTGTTAGTGTTGGCGGCTAGCTGTAGCTTTCTGCTGGAATAACTGGATTCTGTAAAATTCACAGCAGTTAGCCTTAGCCCTACTGTGACTAGCCATTAGCGCATCAATCCGCTCACATTTAGCATCCGTTTCTCTAAATCGAGGGTGTTTGAAGAACCATCTTCAGCCGGTAGATCTTATTTTCTGGCTTTTCCACAGAAGCCCACTCTGAACTCTGCCTTTAAGGCGACAACGCTGCATCACGGACATCCTCCCCGTTCAAACCAGCAGCCTGTACTTCAGTTAAACTTGAGCGTCTATTTAAGGACATCTCTTATTTGACTACAGTGTACATTTGCTTAATCTTGCACATTTGAAACTGTAATTTAATGTTAAAATGTTCCAATGTATATAAATGCGTTTTTTTTTTTTCAGTTTTGTTTGTAAGTGGGGAAATGATGTATGTTACTTATAGGTATGAGGTTTCATTTTAACGGTGAGTTTCAAATCAAAGGAACATATCAGTCGTCTACTAAAAGCAGTTAAACACAGAAAAGCAGACGTGGATTCATTCTGTCCTTTAAACCTGTAGATTTTAAATATTTTTACTTCATAATGATCATGCTTAGTGTAATTGAATGAAATGTTTATAATTACACTGTTTAATATGAAAATAAATGCAAATGAACTTCTAATTCAAGTGGCCTGGGTACTTTTTCAGCTGAAGAACAATGAAGCATTAAAGGGTCATCATCTTGCTTTAGGCTGTTCGAGGATTTAAAACCCACATTGTTGATGAAAGTAGGCGGCCTGGGTCGTCTGATGTAGCATAGTGGAAAAATGCTCCCAAGTCACGCCCATCTACTAAATGAATGGGGAATCTATGGGCTGATGACCCACTGGTTTAAATGTGCCATGGGTTCAACATCTCCCCGTGAAGTTTGAAGACACATTTTGATGCTATGCAAATGCCCGTTTTCACCAGGTGGCAAAAGTGACTTTATGTTTTTTGTAAAAACATGTAGAGGACTCTGCTCGGCTCACCAAATTTCTGTCAACAGCAAACCAGAGATGCAAGGAAAAGCGAACTCCGCCGCATCTGGAAAAGTTTGTGGAGGAACCACTGAAACCATTTTAAATCTGGCCGTGAGAGAAGTAGCAGCAGATACGCTGGGGGGAGAAGACAGATTTGTAGTCATTTCAATTAGGAAATTTTACAAGCAAATAAGTATCAAATTATGTGGGAAACATGTCATAACTCACTAAAAGCTACAATCTGGAGTTTTTTTTTAATCAGACACCACCATCTAGTGGCTACCTATGTGTACCCCACCTCCCTACCCCTTGATGAGACATTAGCCTGTATTGTGTGGGAAACGGTATGCAGTTCCGCCACTTTTAATTTTGGCCCCTCAGCATACCGGGACTTCTTTCTAGGGTACGGTGCTTACCGGTAGTTTTCTGGTCATCAGTCAGAATTTTCAAGATTTCTGCAAAAATACTTGTCCATCCTCAAACATCAGCCATCCAGTCAAGGCCGGATTATGATATGGGCAAACTTGGCACAGGCCCAGGGGCATGGACGTAATTTTCTTGGGGGGGGGGGGGGGGGGGGGGGGGGGGGGGGGACATGTCCCCCCACTTTTTCCAAAGTCAAGTTTTGACCCCTGCACTTTTTACCATCCAAAATCAATATTACACTATATTAAATTGACACTGATTGAGCTCTAGGACCAAGCGGAAAACAGCTGTTTGTGTTGAAGCCTGTTTCCCATTAGAACATTCTGTAAAGGTACACTCCCCACCCCCCGTCCCCTCCACTTCTTAAGTGAAAATTGCCCAGGGGCCCACAGCCACAAGGGGGCCCACGCCAGCAGCAGTCTTTTTTTATTTTATTTTTTGTGCAGCAGTCTTAACGTTGGAGAAACAAGTTGACAAGTAATCAAAAATGTGCCCACATTTTCTAAGTTAACGCACATTTCTTTTAACAATGGTAGTTTCTGCATCTTTACTGTTCCCCAGCTGCTTCAGCCCTCAACCCCCCTACCCCTGCGCAGCAGCTGCAAATTCACTGATGCGCCTGCAGCCTGATCTAAACATTGAATCATTCTGTTCCTCACTTCTTATTATTTTCAAATGTCTGTTTCTTGCAACCACCAGGTACAAAAACGAGTTAGTTTTTTTATTTGACTATTTTTCTGTCCTGTCTGTTTATTATCTTCCTGCATCTCCTCTCATTCCGAAAGAAAAACTGCCACCTGGCTTCATATTTTTTCACCTCATGAGTTACCTTTGAACTGCAGTTAAAAATGATCTACTGACCGCAAAAATAGGGGGAGTGCGCGCCGCGGGCCACACCGGTGAGGTGAATTCACTGGAGGACAAAACAGGTGATGCGCTCCGCTCCACAGCAGCGAAATGCATCAGGCACAAATAAAAGACGGAAAGCATGAAAGGATATGAGCCGACATGAACGGTCGCGTGTTAACTTTGCCCAGGGGCCCCTGCAATGATAATCCGGCCCTGCATCCAGTGCCGCCCCTCCCGATATGCTGGACATGCTTCATGAGGGGCCGCTTTTTGCGCAAAAGGTACATCACCGCCATGAGGCCCACCGCGCATACAGCACCATCAGTACTGGCACTTCTTTTTTTTCCACTTAAAGCACTGCTAATGCTATTGACTAATGCAGAAAGTAAGTAAGTAAAAAAATAAATAAAAACATGTTTCCTACACTATATTGAAAGGTTGGGGTCAGGCGTGGAAATTTAAAATTTTCTCTAGCAGCCACTCAAACATCTTACCAGCCACATTTTTTGCGTAAAACTTTTGCCTCGGTTACTGGCTTCTATCTCTGCTCCGAGGGAGTTTCTCTCAACACTACTACTACTCCTACTTCCTGTTCACATCAGTTTATTCACTTCTTTTCATCTAATCCACAATGAAGGAGAAAAAAACAGATTACATGATGTCATTGGGGTGACGGTGGCACAGGAGTTGAGTGCTCGACCCGTAATCAGAAGGTTGCAGGTTTGAGCCCCGCTCAGTTTGTCACTGTCATTGTGCCCTTGGGCAGGACACTTAACCCCCTTGCCTGCTGGTGGTGGTCGAAGGGACCGGTGGCACCAGTGCTCGGCAGCCTCGCCTCTGTCAGTGCACCCCAAGGCAGCTGCGGCTACATCGTAGCTCATCCCCACCAGTGTGTGAATGACTGAATGTGTTGTGTGTTCATGATTTTCACATGAACTGTCAGAACTTTAATTGCAACAGCAACATTACTGAACACTGTGTGGTTTAAGATTGAGTTAGCTAACATGTTATGTTATAACTATGTTATAATGTTATCATCTGACTAAATGTAATAACATGTAGTGATACTACAGTAGTACTGTGCAGGAAAATACTGGTACATTTTAGGTACCTTGTTGCAGACTTTTAACACACTACTAGCAACCTGAAGCATTATGAGTTTTTTTATTAGATAAACTTTAACAGTTCATCTCTAAGTGAGCAGCTTATTTAACTCACTTTCAACTAACAGAGCTGTCTAATCCTAAATAACGTGTAATTCTCTTGTAAGGAACATTATAGTTGATTCATTATTTTAATTTTTTTTTGCCCAGCCCTTATTATTAAAGCCATCATCACATTGGAACATAAACTCCAGAGGGTCGAGTTGATTCTGTGGGTCGTTAGAAAATAAAAAGAAGTTTCAGTTGTAAATGAAGCAGACCCCTGCTTTGTTTTCCCCACTGCTCCGCACCGCCCAAAAGGCGCATTACAAGCTCGTGCCCGACGCGCTCTGCTCGTTACAACCAGCGCTGCTTTTATTCAGATCGAGTCACTCGCATACCTTGTTGTTGTCTCCCATTTCTCATTAAAACCATAGTTAATCATTTGGCTCATCCTTTGACTCCTCTTAAGAATCATTTTTGGTTTCTGCCACCCGCTGAACAGCAGGAACGTAAAGCTACGTTGCTAACGTGGCAGACTAACGGCAACATGGGCGCGTTGCTGCCCCCGTCAGGTCAGCTGTATAAACAACGCTGCTTTATCTTCATATTTGAGACCCGCCGCTTCATGAATTTACCCGCATTTGGCAGGTGGCGGGTGCTAATTTCCACCCCTGGTTAGGGTTAAGTCTACCACTTTTACATAAAAACCATTCTAGTACACCTTTAAAAAGGGACTGCACACCATCAGAAAACGTTACTCCACCCCTAGTCAAGATTTGGAAAGTGGGCGTTCCAGGAGGCAGGGGTGGCATGACCAAGTGTGGGGAATTTCCATCCCGGGAGGCAGGGGGAGGTGACTGTACTGATGAAGTGAAATTGTTCCAGCCCCAGTCAATCACAAATTTAAAATGCAGTAGCCACTGTTCAACCCACAGGGGGCAGCACTAAGACGTTTTTAGACCTAGATTATAGATTTAATCAAGTTTACACAAACATGTCAACAATGCACAGAAACAAAGATTCCATTTGTAAAGACTAATTATACAGTTTATAAGCAAAAAATGTTATTTTGTGGTTTAGTTGGTTATTTTTAGTGCATCAGAAACGAGTGTGCTGCATTAAAAAGCGAACACATCCCACAGTGTTGGAGTCATTTATTGACATTGGAAGCTTTATTTCCTTTCTTGCCTTTTTTTCCACATTTCATAGCCTTTTTAGCCTGAATGTGCATCCTTTTGTGGAGCCACTCAGGCGTTGCTGCGGCAACAACAGTCCCTGTCGTAAGAGTTTGAGAGCAATACCAACGAGTAATTTATTACAGTAGGGTAGAGGCCTGATCTGATGGTGGTGTGTGAAGATTTCAGACATTTCTTTTGTTAAAAGGTTTTCATAAAGGTATTGTTTTGGTCATGTGGCCTAATACACTCCATCACAAACAACAGAGAGAAGAAAATAAAATCAGAACAAACTTCAGCAAATGCAGAACGAATACATGACTCACTGAAAACAAACTTTAGACAAATGGATCAAACAAAACCTTATAAAATAATCCATGTTAGGCTACAGAGAGTGTGTCTTTCACGTTTAGGACCAGACTTTAGCCCTTCGTTTAAAAATGCATAAAAGCTATTGCTTCTTCTGAGATCACCAGCAGCCAAAAACATCAAACACATGCACACTCCTGTGTCTTTGCAATACTTGTCCCAAAGAACAACCCTTTTGTTCACTTCTTTGTCTTCAAATGCTGAAATAATTCCTGCTTGTGCAACGAGCCGAGTTGTAACAATCATCCATGGACCGGGTCGGATCAGAACACAGGTTAATGTCAGCTGTGGGATTGTGCGGTCCCTTTACGGGAAGGAGATGAGGGAGCTGTCTAAGATCCAGGCACAAACAGGGGGGGGGTTTACACGCACACAGCACTCCCGTTGACTTGGGGGGCCGGGCTGCGTGAGGGGCCAGCAGGAGGAAGGGGGTGGGGGCCCCGCGGAGGCTCGGCTGAGTTCCCCCTTACGCTGATGTTCTCCCATCCTCCCTGGAATTCAGATGCGACGGAGAAAAAGGTGAAGCAAACAGTTTGTCCTAAATAGGTAAAGGAGACGCAGGTGGACGGACATGGCATTCCATTTCTGCAGCCGAATGTAAAAACTGAACCCTTCTAAATGGAATACTGCCCTCCATGGAAGGAAGGAGAGCGGGAAAATAGATGAGGTGGTGGGATAAATGACTCACCCCTATCCCGTAGTCCCAGGACAGGCCTTTAGGTTGCATTGGTCCAACTCCCAGTCTGTGACAAACCACTCCAGGGATCTCCGTAGGAAAACCAGGAACACTGTCTGCGATGATCCAGACCTGTAGGTGATAAAACTCCTGTTACACGTCCTAGCTCCACCGCTCTTCCACAGACCGAGCCAGGGTGGAGGAATCTGCTCATTGATGCTAAACTCCTCATCACGCCCTGGGTAAGTGATCAACCCCCACCTCCGGTCCCCTGGTGGCTGCAGTGACACTGACCTGGTCCAGCGGTCCAACAGAGACCTTGGTGGTGTTGTTGGAGATGAGCTCCCAGCTGGAGCCTTGAGGATAGCTGGGTGTGAGGCCCTGTCTGAACCACAGGTTACCTGGAGGACATCAGAGTCGACGTTAAATCAGGATTCTCTCACCTCAAATAGGAGGTGAGATCTAACAGGACTCACTGTTCTCATCTACAGCGAAGACAGACGTCCTCCCTACAGAGAGCTGTCTGAGGGTCTGTCTCGGAGGAGAGGGGATGTGGTACCAACATTCTCCTGCAGAGGGAACAGAGTCCCTGACTCAACATGAAGTTGTATTCTCTCTTTATAGGTTAGGTCATGTGTTGGACTGACCTGCGGGGTTCTGTGGAGACACTGATCCCCTGTAGAACACGGCTCCATCCTTGGCGATGGCCCACACCTGATTGGCTCCTCCTATGGAGATGGACTTGAAGGGCTGATCTGTGCCCACGTGCAGCCAGGAGCTGCCCTGTGACAGAATCACCAAGGATCAGTGTCTCTACCGGGATGATTACAGTCTACAAATCAACAAAAAGATTTCCAGAACATTCCTCACCGCTGGATTTTGTGGAGTAACTCCCAACCGGCACAAGACGTCTCCCTTATCACTGAGGGCCCAGACGGGGACCTGATCCATCCTGCTCTGAGCCAGACACGGCATCAGGGAGACGTCACTCAGACGGATGGGCTGCACCACGGTCCACGGTCCTCTCACCGCTACCCTACACTTCCTGTGTGAAGAACTCATTAGTATTAAGCTGCTGCTGAACGGGAGTCCCCACCTACACACGTGTGTTCACCTGGCCCATCTCCTGCGCCTAACGAAGTCCTTCATCGTTTTGTGTCCGTGAAACGTCCTGCAGGATGGAAACGATTCGGATCACCAACCCAGCTTTAACATTTACGGATGTTTCTGTGATAAAAGAGACATTCCATACGTGGGAAAGTCTGCGGCATACTGCCAGCCTTCTGTGTCCGTGCCTCCGGGAACGTTGTAATCCACGGTCCACTCTGACACCTTCGACAGTAAAACTTCAACTGTAATCCTCTAAAAACCATGAAAGAAATCAAAACACCAGTTTCAACGACATCAGCATCCTTCCCCTTACCCAGGACCACTGAGGGGAGGGTGGGTGTGTGTTGCCTTTGGTGCACTCCTTCAACCCGCTCTCATCACTCCACATGGGACGGTCAGTGGGGAGCCCTCTGGAGTCATAAGAACACACATCAATAAACAGCTGGAAACAAGATGCACTTCTAAATCATTTTGAATCTGGGAGAAACAAAAAGGTCCGACTTGTCGGTATATCCGGTCATGGGGTTCCATCTCTGATTCTCGTATACGTGGATACTCCTGACATCTGTCTGCTGCTGCAGCTGTGGGCCGTCTGCAGCAGGGAACACGCACACGCACGCACACACACACGCACACACGCACACACACACACACACACGCACACACACACACACACACACACACACACACACACACACACACACACGCACACACACACACACACACACACCAGTTAACTGATTTATGCTTTTCTAATAAAAACACAAACGTAGCAACAGCTATATGGAGCTAGGACTGGGACAACATTACATTTAACTTGTACCAAATTTTGTAATCGTAACACGTTCTGTAACTGTAACTTTGATTTTTAAGCGTGTAATTGACGTTTAGTAACACATAATTCTCATTTTAATACGTAACATTCGTTTTGTAACATGTAACTGGTTTTGTAGCATGAAATTCTTGTTATGTAACATGTAACTTTTGGTACATAACGTTTAACTTTCTTTTTGTAACTTGCAGAAAGAAATCTTTGTACAGTTGCAAATCGCAACTCTCAGAACACACGTCGCAGTCTACAGTTACAAAACTCAAGTCTGTGTACAAAACATTTTGTCCCAAATCTAGCTTCCTTCCCAAAGAACCAATGACAGGCTTTGACTTATCAGCCAATCATGTGTCTCATATTTGAAATCCTACTACAGTTCAAAATGTAAGTTCTTTATTTACATCCGTTTACTTTCTCCAACAAATTACCACCATCTACTAGTAAAGAGTGAGCACGTAAGCAAGCTTGGTTGTGAACAGTACAACAGACCTCTGCCCTCTTGCCATGATTGGAAATTAATCTAAGAGTAATGATTGGCTGGTCAGAAAAAGGCTTTTTATAACGGGTAAATTTAAGTTTTGCAACTGCAGGCTTGAGTTCTGTAAATGTGTGTTTTTAGAGTTGTGACTTGAAACTTGTACACTGATTTTTTCCCCCCACAAGTTACAAAATGAAAGTTTAATGTTGCGTACTGAAAATTACATGTTACAAAACAAAAATAATGTTACAAAATGAGAATTATGTGCTAAAAATTAAAGTTACATGTTACAAAAGAAAAGTTACGTTACAAAATGAGAATTACATGCTACGAAACGAAAGTTACAGTTACAAAATGTTACAAGTTACATGTAATACTGTCCCAATTCTAGCTCCATACAGTTATGGATTCTCAGCTAGATGATTAAACAAGCTGTCCAAACAGTCATTTTAGTGTTTTAGTGGAGAGGTGATAAAGCTGCAGGGGAACGTGTGTGTTACCCGCACTGGGCTCTCGCCCAAAGTTCCCGCTGTAGACCCAGGCGGTGCCGTCCCACCCGACGCCCCACACCAGCCCCAGACTGTTAGACTCTACACGGCGCAGGTGGCCAGGGACCTGGCGCCAGAACCTGCAGCATCGCACAGCGGAAGCACCCGGCGTTAGCAGTCAGCGTGAAAGATGTTATGCTAGGCGTTAGCAACAAGACTGTGAGGCAAGAGAATTAAAGGCAATGCAAAGCAGAAGAACAAATCTCCCCTGGTTTCAGTCTCACATGAGGTCACAGGTCAGAGTGTGTGCAGGAGTCTCCAGAGACACGGATGGCTCGTGGACCAGGATGTCTCCCTTTGAAGTGGTGGACCATAGGGCCTGTTTGGACGGGGCGTCGCTGATGCCTCGGCACTCACAGCAACAGTCACACAACAGGCTCAGCTGGACAGAAAAGAAGGCAGAAGGATGAGTTTTTGATGCTGTTTGACCGCTATAAGACGAAGACAGGTGTTACCCAGTCGCTCATGTCCTTCTCCGTTGCTGCTGCTAAAACCAGAGGCCATCTCTGTCTGGTCCTCTCAGCCGTGTACACTGCGAACGTGTAGTGGCAGTCCCGCTGAACCGGCACCAGCACTGTTACCTCACTGATGAACATGTGGAGGTACTGAGAGAAAGACATCAGAGAAGACACGGTTCGTCTCAGCTAGCCAACGTTACCAAACACAAAACAGCCTAAACTGAGAGTCTAGAGAAGCTACCTTCTTCTCATCGTATTGTGTGTAATACACAAAGAAGATGCTGTCCTTCCTGCCGTCAGACTTGGTGGACTGCTCCAGAGCAACGCCCACGTCCACCCAGCGCTGGGGTTTCCAGTCTCTCCACCACCGTAGCGTGCCTTTACGCACCCACACCGACTGACGAGAGGACCAAAGGAAGGATGAGACCACATAAAAAAGGAACTCTCAGTGGAGATGAGAAGTCTTACGTTGCTTCTCTCCACAGGTTTCTTGCTGATCTCCTGTCTGCGTTCCTGCTCTTGAGGCTGTTTGCTCCAGGCTGCTGACTGAACTGGAGTCAGTGACAAGGAGCTGCTGAGAGGACCTGACCAACAAATACAGAATACATCTGAAGTGCCCAGATACAAGAGACGCTTAGAACCACCTTGGACATCAGCTACCTGTAGGACTGAGCCAGCTGATTTGAGAAGATGCATCTACGTCACATCCTCCACCAGAGATCCAAGCCCACACCGGTCCGTCCTCTTCTCCAATTCGCTGGGAGCTCTCCAGAGTCCCCAAATCATCTCCCAGGGAGCTCCCTGCTGCCTGTGAGGTCCGTGCTGCTTCTGTCCCCTCCAGGTCCACGTTCATCCAGGGGACATTGTGTCCTGCGGCTGGGGGGGTTGGAAGGACAGCAGCTCCTGGTAGCTCCTCCACATCTTCTTGTGGTATCTCAGTGATGGACGCTTGCTGCATGGGAGCTCTGTCCCGGTCAGAGACCAGGCTGTTGATGAAGCTGTCGCTAGCGGGGATGAAGGCTTTGGGGGCGTCTTTCTTGGGGACAGGGGGAGCCTCTTGTGGAGGTGCGTGTGTGTCGGCTCCTCCTAAGGGGACTATAGAGGGAGCTTCTGCCTCCAGCACCAGAGTGTCTGTAACACTGCGCTGCGGCTCAATCTGACCCAACTCTGAATCCGAGTCGGTGCAGCATGGTACAGATCCTAGCGAGGCCTCAGTCAGCTGGCTGCTGAACTCATGGTCGTCTCTTTTAGAAATGAAACCAACAAAGACAAGGATTAGTGATCGATGTTGTCAGATGTTAACTTCTGGGTTATTCTCTAAACAGACCTGGGTGGGATAACCTGAGTGTTGCTGCCCCCACTGAGCAGAAACAGGTATCCAGCCGCTTCCGCTTGCTCGGACGGGGTCACCCCCATCCTGAAATACAAGCCCCGGTCTTCACCAACCGCCCACACCTGTCAGAAACATCACATCTGATGAAAACAGCTGCAGCTTTAATTCAGAGCTCATGTAATCTTCATTTCTGGGGCTGTTTAAGCACCTTTTGCCTGCATAAATGGATTCTTTGGAGGCCAATCGGAGGCACAGACAGGAAGCAGGCAGCTGTTACTTTATATGGCCATATACTGTAGCTCCTCACACGAGCTGTACCCACAACTGCAACCCTGAGATATGAAAAGTAGCAATACGACAGGATACGATGAAGGCGGCGCCTTGGCCAGATTCTACTTAGGGAGTCTCCATATGTCAGGGCCAATGGGCAATACAGTCGGGGGGATATATAAGGCTGGGGCTGGGACACGGCTGCAGCGGCTGGCTGCGCTCGTGTTGCCGACTGGAGGGGCAACGGGGGAGAGACACGCGGGGGAGGAGGTGTGAGGAATAAGTCTGCAGAGCAAGCAGTCTTCAGCAGTGAGAGGGGAGAGTTCCTACCTCCTGAAACCAGATCTGAGAGAGAGGATGAAGCAGTCAGAGCCAAAGCGCTCTCTCTCTCTCTCTCTCTCTCTCTCTCTCTCTCTCTCTCTCTCTCTCTCTCTCTCTCTCTCTCTCTCTCTCTCTCTCTCTCTCTCTCCTCTCTCTCTCTCTCTCCTCTCTCTCTCTCTCTCTCTCTCTCTCTCTCTCTCTCTCTCTCTCCTCTCTCTCTCTCTCTCTCTCTCTCTCTCTCTCTCTCTCTCTCTCTCTCTCTCTCTCTCTCTCTCTCTCTCTCTCTCTCTCTCTCTCTCTCTCTCTCTCTCTCTCTCTCTCTCTCTCTCTCTCTCTCTCTCTCTCTCCTCTCTCTCTCTTCTCTCTCTCTCTCCAAAACTTCAGGAAAATATCCTTTTTCTATTTAAAAACAGAAAATATTTAACCAAAAATATGTGTCTAGTACGGCTGCTCAATTAATGAAAAACAAAATCTGTTCCCCAACTTAATTCATCTATAACTCTCCAGAGTTCATAATGTAAGACTGCATACACTGACTGATGTCAGCAGGTGGCAGAGTTGTGCTTTTCACTTGTGACTGAATCTTATTCTAAGACAAACATTTATTTTATCACATAAAAATCTAAATAAATGACACATTAAATTATAATATTAATTAAAAATGAATAATAAAATATATACACCTTTGAGACATTAATTAAAAAAATATTAAACATCAATTAATTAAACACAATTTTTTTACTTTATTAAACACATAAGACAGCACTGCTCTAAAAGCAGAGAAGAGCTGCTACGGAAGCTTGGAGGCTTAAGCAGGAAGTCCATGAGAATAAAGATGTGTTTTGTCAGCCGGTTATCTTTCTATTACTATCTATTACTGTTATCTATTACTGTTACCTATGTATTACTATCTATTACTGTAATCTATATATTACTGTTATCTTTCTATTACTATATATTACTGTTATCTATTACTATCTATTACTGTTATCTATCTATTACTTTTATCTTTCTATTACTGTTATCCATCTATTACTATCTATTAGGGATGAGCGAGTACACCACTATCTGTATTTGTATCTGTTCAACCAACTAAATTATCTGTATCTGTATCTGTACTCTGAATGGGTGTGGCATAACCTGGAAGTGGGCGTGGTTTAACAGGAAGTGGGTGCGGTTTACATTAATATATTGTTTTAAGTCTGAAATTGATATGGATTGATCAGAAGTTGCTATGTGTATTGTTTATTTGAAAACTATTTACAGAGCAGCCTCAGAATTGAGATTAAATATTTTTGATCACAATAGTAAAGGAACTATTACAGAACAAGTGTTTCAATAAAATCAGTACATTAATATTTGAGTGCATGGATTAATGCATCTGAACCATGATCTGAACTCCTGCAGTAGGAACTAGGAAATATGAAATACTAGAACCAGACACAACTTTATGTATATTTTTATTTTAATTTGATTAAACAGATTTTTTTCTTAACGTTCTTGACATTTTCCCACACAAAGATAAACAAAACAATGTTGATTAAGGTGTGTGTGTGTGTGTGTGTGTGTGTGTGTGTGTGTGTGAGAGAGAGAGATAGAGGGAGAGAGAGGGAGTTAAAAAAAAATAAAAAACCCGACCGGAGCGGAGTTAGTGACTGATGCAGCACGTCAGCTCTGTCTTGTCAAAAGCACCATGTAAGTTACGAAAAAAGTAACTTTAAATATTCAACCGTAAAAGAGGCGAGCTGAAGAAAACCTAGGGAAAACTGAAGAAACGTGAGCAACAGTGAAGCAATCACAGCGAGATCCATTACGGTTTGTGTGTGTGCGTGGATGAACTGGACGGACTGAGCTCCCGGCCGGCTGCAGTTTTGTGTGTAGGGAGGGGCGGGCGCTCTATGTTACTGGCCAATCACAGAGCGTGAAGACAGTCAGTTACCCAATGAGGATTTTCCTTCAGCATGATTACAGATACTTACAAGTTTTACTCGTTTCATGTTCGTATTCGTCAACAATACTTTATCCGGCTCATCCCTACCATCTATTACTGTTATCTATCTATTACTCTTATCTATTACTATCTTTTACTGTTATCTATTACTATCTTTTACTGTTATCTATTACTATCTTTTACTGTTATCTACCTGATTTGTTTTTTATTTCTCTTTGCAGATTTCATTAGGGTTGAATTTCTGTTATTAGAAGAGAGTCTCTCTCACAGTAATACGGAGCTGAACACAAATTCTCTGCATGTAAAAAACAGAATTCTCTTAACCTGGTCATTAAGTCCAACGTCCACCATCATCATCTCCCCTCCAATGCTGATCCAGCCAGAGCCACAGGGATTGTGGGAGTTTACACCACGTCTGAACCACACCTGCACACACAGACATTCAGGTGATGCAGTGAATCGCAGCTGCGCAGAGCTCTTTGGATCTGTGCCTGTAGTTCACCTTGTAGTCCTTCGTCACCACCCAGACCACGCTGACTCCAACAGACACATGGAGAGCTTCCACTTCCTTTGAGGGGGAGTCCACCTCCACCCAGGTGGTGCCTGTCGAAGGGAGACAATGCTTGATCATTTTAAAAAGTCTCAACTAGTTTTTGTGCTGATGAGTTTTAGTACTACGAGTACTGACCAGTTGGGCTGTCCAGGCTGAGACCAGTACGAACCAACAGATTCCCATCCCACAGTAAAACCCACAGGAGGTCCCCAGGGCCAGCTGATAACTGAGCCACCTCTTTGGGCACCTCCACCTCCTCCCAGCTGCTGCCCTCTGGAACACGTGGGTGGATTCCCTCTCTGAACCACACCTGCAGGACAATCATTTCATTGCATCATCTAGAAACTGCTAACTGAAAGTAGGACGTGTTGAGTATCGTTGCTGCTAAATAAGATACTGAGATTTTTCTTTTTTAACAATTAAAACTTCAGCAGGTGTGTCTTTTACATGGAGCTATGCTGCCCTCTTGTGGTCAAAGCTTAACACTGACCTCTGCAACAAATGGTTTGTTTCCTGAAGTAAAAGTCTTTATGATGGACATAAATCGGCCTCAGGAGTTAGAGCTATCAGAACCAAGTGTCCTGTGTAACGTGCGTAGGAGTAATTTGGGATGACTTGTATTATCAGGACCAGATGTAACCCAGATCAGAAGCTAGGATCAGCCCACAGGAGTAAGTAACACAGAGACAAAATGGAATAGACCGTTAGGTTGGTACCAATATAGAATATATTATGACACTTGTTTAACAATACATACACTGAATAAATAATAATAAACTAATAATAGTTGACAATTTACAGAGAATAAATTACAAATCATCATACGTCAATCCATTGTCCATTAGATAGGGTAACACATGATTGTTGGCAACTTCAAGTTTCAGCGGACCCGAGGACCCGCGAATGGGTCCTAAAGAGTGAGTTCAATGTTCGTGAGGGAGAGAGAGGGGGGATTGTGAAGGATGTGATCAGGGTAATCGCAGCTCGCTGTTGAAGTTGCTGAGGAACAGAGACTTAAAGATGGCTACAGGAGCCTCCTACCAGCCCAACAGTGGTGGAGTGAATTGATTCAGTCTGCCTGACTTGGTTCAGGAACTCAGGGATTCTGGGCTTACAGTCTAGGTTCTAGTGGGTAGCTCGCCATCCAATGAAGAAAACCTGGCCTTTTCCGTCAATCTAAAGCTAACTCCGCGCTCCTTCTTATACGTCCGACAACCGGTAGTTGGCTCCTGCAGCAACTCCTTTCCCTGTGTCTCCTTACGCTTACCGATCACGTCTGGCTGTGAGCTATTTAACTTCCTGATTGACCTAGATTTGGCCACTTGACCGGCAACGTCGAAGACGTTCCGGCCACTTTATTAGAGACAAGCGGAAAAACTGAAAAAACAAAAACCCCGGACCCATCACCTGGCAACCGGGTTACACCTGACCTGTCCTTGTTGGGTCACACCCCAGAGGTACGGGTACCTCCCAGACTGGTCGCTCAGCTCCCAGCCACCACAGCTGATGTCACAGAGCGGCAGGGGCGGCTTCCTGGGATTGTCCAAAGGGATCTGCGAAGAGCAGGCCCATTATCAGATGGAGATGTTCTCACACTTGCTCCTCGATGATGGAAAGTGTTTCATAGATAAACAAAAAGAGTAAATGTAAACCTTCGCCCAAGTGCCTTGCGCTGTGTATCTCCTGTAGCGGATCCATCGTCTACGACGGACACAGGAGTTCCACTTCTTGTCGGGAGAGAAGTTAGCAGGGAAATCCACGGCATATTCCCAACCCTAAAGAGGAAGAAAGGTGAAACTGTTACGCTGAATCTAACAAGAAGCTAGAAACAGGTAAATAAATTGATTCATGTGTCTCACCCCGGTCTGGCTGGGCTCTCCTCCACAGCTCTGATCCACGTACCAGTCTCCCTCCCACTCCCAGCTCCTGGAGGGCAACTGGAAGCTGTGGAGCGGCTGTGGATTCAATCCCGTCACGTCGCTCCAGGGCCAGCGGTCGGTGGGCAACAGGACGTCCGTGAATCCGTCGACTGGGTTCCACCGCTGACACACACACACACACACACACACACACACACACACACACACACACACACACACACACACACACACACACACACACACACACACACACACCATCAGAGCTTCATTCAGCTGAGACACCCATGCTGATCATGACAGGAGGACCGTGCTGACCTGGTTCTCGTAGGTCTCCTCCCGGTAGCGGATGGGGGTCTCGCTGGGCATCATGTACAGGTAAACGTGGTGATCACAGCCGATGCCCCAGCAGCGCCCTTTACCCGAAGTGACGCGCTTCAGCTCCAGGAGCATGTCGTCAGCGCGAACCCAGCGCTGACCCGCCGTGGAGAGGCTGTACACTCTGCCGTACACATCCACGGACCACAGCAGCGTGATGGGCATGATGCTCCCTTCACACAAACACATAACTTTGGTCTCACACTTTCAGGATTCAAGCTGTTCACAGATGGAAACATTCAGCTCCCTTTTCTGCACCAGCATCTCGCTACCAGAGAATCCTACATAAACAACCTAATCTGTAAAACTGATGTCAAGCCCTGTCATTTTAGGATGGCAGCAGTCTATTCTGGCCCTTAGGACCAACTGATGCTGACTTTACAAACATAAATAAGTCAATCTGTTTTAAACTTTCTCAATATCCCTCCTTTCACTCTCTGTATATTTGCTGTGGTTATTAGACGACATGTCCTCTAGACGGCAGTGCTGAGTTCAGGCTGAACAAACCAGGGGTGTTTCTCAATGCCAAGGAACCTGGCCCTGATGTCTTGGCCCCGCCCCGGTTGCCTAGGAGATACGTCAACGAGAGCCGCCAAGACGTGTTCCAATGTTCATGTTCTATCAAGGTGTGTGTTTGTTAGCCGTTTAGCTAGCTGAGCGAGGACACACCGGAGATGTCTTGTAGCCTAGCCTTGGTCAAAAATTACCCAGAATACACTGCAGTACTTTCAAAAGGACGGCGGATCAGAAGCCAGAAGCTACTTCGGAGACAAATTTCAAGTTTAAAAGTAAGTCAACTAATTTAAAATGTTTTTTTTTATCCAAAGAAGTTATCTATGGTTGGTTAGTTGCTTAGTTGCAGCTTCAGGGGCTAGCGGGTAGTAACTCGCTTATATATTTAATTTAATAAACACATACACAATTTCAAAAGTAAAAGGCTCGTTATATATTTATGTTGAAACTAATACGTATAAAATATAACATTATCTCCCGTGTCACGTGATGTTATGTGACCGCCGTGGAAGCCGCGGTCACGTGATGCAAGTTTGTTCCATTTAACCGTTTTCTTTGACCAAGGAAGGACAGTGTCCTCGTACGCAAGACATCGCCTCGCAAGGCCAGGTGCCTTGACATTGAGAAACACCCCAGCTCATTCATGTCCAGTCTGCTCTTTAGAAGCTCTCTGACCCTTCGTCCAGGTGAGGAAACACCAAAGAATCGTTTATACTAACTTACGCATTTTTACAGCCTCTGATCAAACAGTTCTACCATTTCTGTCTTCCCTTTTGCTTTTGCTGACTGTCCATGACACAAAAGTCACTGTGATGCTGCTGAAACTCATCTGTTAGCTGGATTTAGGAAAGACACCCATGAAATGACCTCAGAGGATTCTGGACCTTTAGCTGCAATCCTCCTGTTTCTCTGAACTGAGGCTGTTCTTGGAGCTATCTGCAATAAATAACTTTTGCTCTTTAAAATGGTCAAAATAATCCCTGTAATGTAACACAGTGACTGATCAATTTTATTCAGTCACCATCATCAAAATTAATTCATGTAGACAGTAACATATCATACATATAAATCCATATATTTCGTAGCTCCACAAACATACATATTCACATACTTGCATATCGTATCTATTTTACTATCTACACATTTCTGATACAATCACATTAACTTTGAACATTTCATGACTGAACAGATTTAGGCAGAAGCAAAAGCTTATAATATTGCCTAACCTCCTTACTTAATCAATTTTTAATTCCCTCAATGTGACAATAACAAAATTTATAAACACAAACACATCCACCAACTTCGAATTAATAGTAATCAAAAAGTATTTTAAAAACTGAAAGCGTATTTCCTAATTTAAATTCTATTTTAGCCTCATTCCAGAATGTAACTCCCATTATAAAGATACATCTCTTAGTTTTCTGTACCATAATCATACATACACCTCTTAACTCATAATTACTCTCCCTCTTTGCAAAAAACCCCCATATTTCTATACAATATGACATGTAAGGTTGAATTAGTGAACAATAAATAAAACTTTAGCCTTAGAGTTTAGCAAGTTCTTTACTTTATATAATATTCCCACAAATGCAGAGATTTTTCCTATTTAAATAATGTTCCCAAGATAACTTAGAGTCAATCACAACACCAATTAATTTTGTTTCAGACACTTTCAATTTCAGTATTTGAAATAGTTGATTTAAAGTCCCCATCTTTTACATTTTTATTTCCAAATATCATAAAATTAGTTTTTTTATATCCAGTGATCATTTATGGACATTTAACCAAGATTTGAGGACAATTAACTATTTTCAGCCTTTTAAAGAGTTCTTTTACATCTACAGTGACAGGTTTAATTACTTTTTCCTGTAACATCTAACCCTAACTTAAGAAAATATTCCGATTATTTTATAAAATAGTTTATTAGCTTTTTTTTTCCAGAGGAAATTAAATTCTTACCAGTCAACCAATCTGTGATTTCAGTGCGATGAGGTAATAATCTCTATTTATTAATAAATTTATTTAATCATGAATCAAAAAGTTGACTTTTTATGAAGGATAAATCATTTAAATTGAGTTAGCTGTCAAGAAAAGAATATTCTACTGGGTGTCTTTGAGTAAAGGTATTCTAAAATGATCCACTTGACTGAGAAGCTTTCAGTTTTTTCCAGTAAAACAAAAATTCTGAGAATTTCACATTCATATCTAATAAAATGGTTCAACTACAAAATGCACAAAGTTCAATTTGTCAAGTTTAAGCCAACTTGTGTCAGAACTGGATGCCAATTTAAAGGTTACCTCATTGTTATGTTTTTTATTCTCAAGTGAAAAAAAGAGACTCAAAATAAATTTAAACAGTAACACTTTTTTCCCCCACGTACTCCTGTTTTTCAAATATGTTTATGTGTGGTATTTCTGTGTTCTATTTTCTGCATCTGTGTGCTTTCAAAGATTAGCCATTAACCATTTGAAAGATTTAACTTCCTTTTAAAATATAAATACTAGTTCTGTGAATTAAGCCAGAAGCATAATGTGCAGTATGTCTTAGCACATTATTAAATGTGTAATATCGATTTTAATAGTTTCCGAATTAGTCAAGCTGATTTTAACTTGAAAAGAAAAAGTGGAAGTTGACTTAAGTTTGAAATTTCTGACCGGAAGTACTGCTTTTATTTTGTTCCGGTTAGCTTGAAACGTGTTTTATTGACGGACACTAATCCGACACTAGACAGCCACTACGCTAAAGCTAGCCTTTATTCATTTACATTGAAGCCTTTTTTGTTGCTTTTATAAGAAATGTTTACGTATTTTATTACAGCCAAACATTCAAGCTAAACTAGTTAAACAGGGCGAAAGTATGTGGAGCTGTGTAATTTACATAGGTAGTTTTAGTGTCCTTACTAAAATTAATATTTATTTGATTAATTTTTGCTGAACCCCCCCCCCCCCCCCCCCTCCCAACACACACACACACACACACACAAACACAGGTGTTCGTGTCAAATACCTACCTGAATATTTGTATCCTATCCGCGGTTGTCAAGGGGATGGACGCGTCATGGCATCAGGTGCAACAGCCGATACCTGCCACCTCCCCGGCCCGTTCTAGGACAGCATCAGAACCAGAGCCATTAGCGGGTTTACCTCCAGCTATGCTGCATTACTGCACAAAAACTCAAATGTGCCGCAATAAGTGGGATATGCTGTTTATATCAGGCCTGTGACCCTGGAAAATCGTTACAACGCTAAATATTTACTTACACATGCGGCGAAGTCATGATCCACACCTGCAGGGAGGAAAAATAAAGCAGTCATTCACCCACACATCGGTATTTAAATTATATTCTGGAGCACAGGACTGCCCGTCCAACTCCGAGTCTACAACAGGAAATGGAGGAAAGGCGGTTCTGATTGGCTGAGGCGCGAAAGGAGCGCTGGATCTCGGTCTCTCATTGGTCTAAATCAGATGGCCCCGGTGTTTTTTTTACTCCCTTCCAAACAGATTTCAATAATTTATTCAGCGGCGGATAAATTATTTAAACCCAAGGTTGGAGTTACTTGTTCGGTTAGAGTTAATAACACCAAAGAAACAAAACTTTAAGTGACTTTATGGTCAGTGCTGGATTATGGAATGTAAAAAATAATCTGCGCAGGACTGCATTGTTGCGTTATTTTTCTGGACAGCTCCTTCCCAGACAGGGGTTGTCTCGGGTTTGCTGTGTACTGGGACAAGGTCTAGGACATATTTTAAACCACTTGTGCTGCAGCAGAATGTTACAAGTTCAGCGCTCATGAAATAGACACCTGCTAAAGGCTGGCGACCCCAGAAAAAACATAAGATAAATTTGTCTGCTGCATCAAACTGTACAATCTTTTACAGCTGATGCAGACAAAATGTTTAGCTTAGTGCTGCAAAAAAACATAATTACTAAAAGGAAATATCTATTTTATTATCTGCATTTTGTTCAAATGATCCAAAATGTTTTAGGCGTTTCATGTTTGTCTTCCTTTTAAATTATGTTTCCTGTTAGCTGAAATAGTTTCCATATGGGAACTAACACACACACACACACACACACACACACACACACACACACACACACACACACACACACACACACACACACACAATGGAACAAGAGGAATTTACAGTATCATTAAACCATTTTTCCATTATGAATATCAAAATAATTTCACTTCACTTTTTCAGCTGAGAAGAGTGTCTAAACTGAAACAATCAAAACCAGGAAACGCAAACAACACACTTTATAAAATTAAACTTAAAGTGACTGTGTGTATTTTCTCCAGCAATAGGGGGCAGTAGATACCTAAGTCGTTGCAAGCAAGCAGTATTTTTGTGTATGAGTAAGACTTTACCAAGGGATGCCCATGGTCAAAAAGGCCTGGGGAAGTGAAAACTTCAGCAAAATAAGGCACATCAGACTCCCTTTCATCACAGGCAACAAGCGAAGAGGTAAACATGTAAAACAACATTTATGAATGATGAAAGTTTTGTAACATTTGTTACAAATCAGTAAATGCCTTTTTTCCTCATGGGCTCCCGAATAAGGAAACATGGCATCTAATTTAGCATCACCCAGAGACCTAGACCTGCCCCCATGTATTTTACACCTGATTTTTTATGGTTATGTCACGAAGCTGCCAATATTTTTAAAAAACTGGGCATCATGTCATTCATTCATTTTCAACAACGTTTTGATGGATGTTTCCAGAAATGAATGGTAAAAGCTACACATTGTCTCTTTAAAAACTTACCTATAAATCGAATTAACATATAAAAAACATAATTTAACAAATATATTAAATACATATAAATATTTACAACAAAACAATAATAATATAATAATAATTATTATTATTATTTGAATTTATACACCTCAGCAATATGTTCACTAACAGTGGTGATTATTAATAGAAGCTGACAGATGTGACTAGATCACCACTCATACTGGAGGTGGGTGTAATGGGTTTGGAGGTCAGACCTGGTTGAGAATCCCTAGGAATTCAGAGACGGACTGGTGTGCCGTTTGATTTAGGAAAACTCAACATCCAAACATAAATGAAATGCATCATTAAACTCTATTTTCTAAACTGGAGTTTTTCCAAAGACTATAAACAAGTAGAAATTTACCTCAGGTGACATTTTCACACAAAGGATCTTAAGGGCACCCAAAAGGCCAGGGTTTAGGATTTTTGGACAGTGAGCCAGTTGAGTTCGTTATGATTGAGCCTATTATTAAAAATAGGGAGGTGTTGACCTTTCTGTGGTGAAGCTGTAGCAGGCGCGCGCGCGCGCAGGCACACACTCACTCAGGCCCTGCAGTGCGTCGCCTTTTGTTTTTAAGTGTGCTGGCCCTTTAAGAAGCCTTTCCAGCGCGCAGAGGCGCTTCAGCAGCGCATCACATGATTCATCTCTTGTGACAATCCGGACAGAAAGGAAAAGCGTCTGTGACTTCCAGCTGAAGGAGCCGCTGTGATGTTGTTCTGACACAACGGACCCACTTCAGTCACAGAAATGGGGTTCAGCTAGCCTTTAGCGCACCAACTTGCATCATTCCTGTGGTAACTGCGGCCGTTGGGTGAAGATTTGGGGGTTGTTGTTGGGTCGACTGGGACAAAGTTGGCGCATGGACGAACTTTCATTTTTGCGCAGCGCATTTTCTGTTGCTTTTTTCCGCTTTTGCTTGTCAGTTAGCATCACACAAAGTTAAGTCGCGCGCTGGGTTATTGTTTTTACCCATTAAATTTACTGACCAAGACAAAATAAATAAACCGGACGAGTTGAAGACACGTAACTCGGAGCGAGATGGTGGACAACAAACCTCTTCTCCAGGACGGTCCTCCCGCCTATAACGCCGTTCCAGGGGCCAGTGAGTACGGTCCTCAGCTGCACGGATACGGGGCGATCCCCCCCGCGGCACCGCCACCCTACCAGTACCATGGAGGCCAAGGCAAGTAGCCCCTTTTCCGACAGCACTCAAACGTCACTCAAAGTTAACTAACCTGGGACGTGGGCTCCCACTCTTGCACGTTTTTGACTCATGTCACAAAAATTCTTCAAAATAATTAATTTTAGCTCAACGTAATTGTAAAATATTGAGTCAAGTTGATAATTAAAGCTTTAAAAGTGATAGTTTTCATTGTAACGCTCTTAAAAGTGTCGCGCGCTGTAGTTTTAAAAGACTAAACTAAAACAAACGTGTTGTTGAAGTTGGGTTTTACTAGACACAAAGCTCAAACAAAACACTGACTATTGTTTATTACGAGAAGATAAAAAATACGTGTCGTAGTTTTTTAAGTCTGCTTCATGTGAGGCAAACAATCACCTGACCGTGATTGTGTTTTTTACCGGAAGTCACGTCTTAAATTCTTGTAATTGCACAGACATTTCCTGTTTGCTGGCTCTCCCCTTGCAGAACATCAAACCAGCTCAGAAAGACCAGTGAGTTATCTGCTTTCCTAGTAAGTCTGGCCAAAGTTACCTACCTGTCTTATCAGAGCGGCACAGATAACAGGGAAATCAATGAGTCACAGAGATGAGTTTGGGAGTCTCTGGTTCTGATGAGTGTTTATTATCCAGATTAATGCCTAAAATGATAGAATATTAATGTGTTCTAATCAGTATAAATACAAATACACATAAACTACTTAGTAAAACAATGAATTTCGACTTTAGACTCTAAATGAAATTACATGTGACTCCAGGGCCACTCAGAACCAGAACAGTAATAACACCAGGGCTCATTATTTAGAGATTACATCATAATCACAAGTTTTTAGGTCAGTATCGAAATAGCAAGTGTTCAATAAGAGTAACACATTGACTATTTTCCTCCTCTTTGGCCTAAAGTAAACAGGAACTCTGCAGTTTGGCATCACAAAATAAAAGAGGGAAGTAATGTGTTGCGATCAGTGTCATTTTTTTGGGGGGGATAATTTAATTTATTCGATGCCTGTCCACCCGTGAATGCCACCCTGAGCTAAAAATTCAGTTTCTAAAACAAATGAATTTGAAATTAACTAAACATTAGGTTTACTTTTAATTGACTTTAATATTACACACAGAAAGAAGAAAATGCACCTACTTATTACAACTCCAAACATGTTATTAAATATTAGGGATGTGTATTGGTGAAATTCCGGCAATATGATATGTATCGCAATACAGTGGAGACGATACAACATATCACAATAAATACTTTCAGTCAGACGATATTAGTAATTTATTAGACTGAATTTATTGTAGGAAAATTCAATTAACAGTCCAAACTGATACGTAACAGGTTTAATATGAGGTATCTGAACCATAGTAGAGGGATTTACAATTTTCAGTGGTGGAAACAAAACCCATTGCACACTGCTGCCAGCTAGCAGTCTGTGTTTAAATTGCACCAAAATTTAAAAAAATACACAAACGTTTGCATGAAAATTATTCAATTCAATTCAATTCAAAAGTAGTTTATTAATCCCAGAGGGAAATTGATTGCTGTAGTAGCTCAGAATAATAATAATAATCAAGTCATCAAAGAGTTATTGTATATTACAATGGCTGTTGGCAGGAAGGATCTCCAGTAGCGGTCAGTGTTCCAAAAATTCGATACATGGCTTTTCAATATTAATATAATATCGCAGGAAAAAAAGTCATGATATATTGCCATATCGATATTTTCTTACATCCCTATTAAATATAGCAAACTTCATATTTACTTCATCACAGCTCCTTGTTTCAGGGGTTTGTGCATTTCGATGGTGCTGCCATGGAAAGAAAGCGCTGCTTTCGTCATCGTCTTCCTCCGCTTATCCGGGTCGCGGGGGCAGCATCCCAACTAGGGAGCTCCAGACCGTCCTCTTCCCGGCCATCTCCACCAGCTCCTCCGGCAGGACCCCAAGGCGTTCCCGGATCAGATTGGAGATGTAACCTCTCCAACGTGTCCTGGGTCGACCCGGGGGCGTCCTGCCGGCAGGACATACCCGAAACACCTCCCCGGGGAGACGTCCAGTAGGCATCCTGACCAGATGCCCAAACCACCTCAACTGACTCCTTTCAATCCGGAGGAGCAGTGGTTCTACTCCGAGTCTCTCCCGAATGTCCGAGCTCCTCACCCTATCTCCAAGGCTGAGCCCGGCCACCCTACGGAGGAAACTCATTTCGGCCGCTTGTATCCGCGATCTCGTTCTTTCGGTCATTACCCAAAGCTCATGACCATAGGTGAGGATTGGGACATAGATCGACCGGTAAATCGAGAGCCTGGCTTTCTGGCTCAGCTCCCTCTTCCCCACGACAGATCGGCTCAGCGTCCGCATCACTGCAGACGCCGAACCAATCCTCCTGTCGATCTCCCGATCCCTCCTACTCTCACTCGTGAACAAGACCCCGAGATACTTAAACTCCTCCACTTGAGGTAGGACCTCTCCCCCGACCCGGAGGTGGCAAGCCACCCTTTTCCGGTCGAGAACCATGGTCTCCGATTTGGAGGTGCTGATCCTCATCTCAGCCGCTTCACACTCGGCCGCGAACCTGCCCAGCAAGAGCTGAAGGTCAGAGCTGGATTAAGCTAGGAGGACCACATCATCCGCAAAAAGCAGAGACGAGATTCTCCTGCCACCAAACTCGACACACTCCACACCACGGCTGCGCCTAGAAGTTCTGTCCATAAAGGAACAGAACCGGTGACAAACGGCAGCGCTGGCAGAGTCCAGCCCTCACCAGGAACGGGTCCGACTTACTACCGGCTATGCGGACCAAACTCATGCTCCTCTGGTAAAGGGACTGAATGGCCCTTAACAGAAAGCCACCCACCCCATACTCCTGGAGCGTCCCCCACAGGGTGCCCCTGGGGACACGGTCATAAGCCTTCTCCAAATCCACAAAACACATGTGGGTTGGTTGGGCAAACTCCCATGCCCCCTCCATCACCCTTGCAAGGGTATAGAGCTGGTCCACAGTTCCACGGCCAGGACGAAAACCACATTGCTCCTCCTCTATCTGAGATTCAACTATCGATCGGACCCTCCTCTCCAGTACCTTGGAGTAGACCTTTCCAGGGAGGCTGAGGAGTGCGATCCCCCTATAGTTGGAACACACCCTCAGGTCACCCTTCTTAAAGATGGGGACCACCACCCCGGTCTGCCACTCCCTAGGAACTGCCCCCGATGACCACTCTGCTTTCACCAACTTGTATTAATATTGGTTTTCAGTGAAATGCTCGCAAGGTCAAATCACACGTTCTCTGATTCTGTGAAGCCTAAAATATCCAGAGTTCACATTTTAAGGAGACAGTTACACATTTAGGTCAGCAGGTGGCAGAGTTTCTGTTCAGTGGAAAATTAACTTAGGAGAAAATAAATTATGATATTAAAGTTACTTTCATTAACCTAGAATTAACGTTATGTCTGGTTACAACAAGAATCAAACGTTTTGAAACGTTTAGAAATCATCTCAAAGACCCATCTGGTCTCAGGGTTCCCAAAGGCCAAAAAAATTTGAATGGGCATCTGAGGCGATAATTTAGTTTCTGATCCCGTTTGATACATGCCATGGATTTCACTTATGATGCACGTAAATTTTTAAAACACATTTTGATGCCAAGAAAGCAATTATTTCTGACAGGTGACAAAAGTTATTTTATGTTTTGTGTGAAAAGATGTAAAGGACTGCATCTGCCCGTCTCACCAAAGACCAAAATGACATCATCAAACCAGACACGGACAATAAAATGGCTGTGACTTTAGTTAGCTTGTCATCCATCTTCCAGGATGAGGACCCATTAGACTCCCTGCCCCAAATATTAATATGAATTTTCCACTTATTGATGAGACGCAAGAAAAGAATCTGGACCGATGGTGCTGCTATTAAAACAGAGAAGAGTTACTACTGCAACCCAGTTGGCCAAGCAGGAAGTCAGATGTATGTGAAGTGAAAACCAGGATTTTTAAGGACCATCAGCACAAATTTTATCTCTCCTTTTTGGCCAGATGCTTTCAGCTCTCATTCACTCATTATTTCAATTGATCAGGTGTTCTGCGGTGGTTCAGGGCTTAGGAGTTCACCCACAAGTCGGTGTGTTTTACCTTCATTCTGCCATGTTACACTGACCTTTTAAAGTAGGATTCATGTGAGTTTAGCCTTAAGCATGGGAGGAAGTGAACATGATTTGAAAGGTGAGACAAAATATGAGCATTAAAAAATCTTTTGTGATTATTTGGAGCAAACACCAAATTATAAATTTGATTACCTGCGCAGCTCTAATTAAAACCTCTCGTTTGTTTATTTTTTCTAACCTGTAGGATTCCCGCCAGCCCAGATGGGACCTCCTGCTACCCAGCAGCCCTACGCGGGGTCGTACACCATCATCCAGCCGTCTGTAGTAGTGGTGGGAGGCTGCCCTGCCTGCAGGTGATCACGTACACACACACACACACACACACACACACACACACACACACACACACACACACACACACACACACACACACACACACACACACACACACACACACTCACACACACACACACACTGCAGCATGTTAGAATCTTTTGAATGACTAATTTAACTACACTGAACTGCTTTAGTAATAATTTAATCTCTTATTCTGGAGTAAAATAAAGAAACAAGCTAAATCATCACACATCTGTGGCATCAAGAAGCATCTTCTGAGTTCAAACACAGGGATGGAGCACAATGTTTACACCTGAACAGTATCAGGATGCTTTAACTCACAGAGGCCTGCAGGTCTTCTGTTTTATGAGCAGAGCGCTGAGAATCCACTTGTTATGAGCGCTAAACGTAATTTTGCCGCTGCCGTGCGGAGCGGTAGGGAAACACATTTCAAACACGGAACCGAGTCTGGCTACCGAACCGAGTGGAATTGTGATGACGTCACACCGGTGCGCGAAGGTTCACGTTCCAACCCACAGAAGAGGAGGGAGAGAGGAGGGAAACAGCGAGTGGATCACAGGGACTGAACTGATGTTTTAGAGTAAAAGTGTACACACCCACACCCCCCACGGGTTAGACGCAGCGCTCATGCAGGTGTCTCTTTCTGTTCCGACGCTGCTACACGCAATATTTTTAATTTATTAAGCCTATAATTTATTTTTACTCGGTAACGGATATGATTTTAAATGTAACGAATTACAATTCTTTTTTAAAAACTTACTTGAGTAAAAGTAAAAGTACAGCTTTTAAAAACAACTTAAAAAGTATAAATATACAAAACTACTCAATTACAGTAACGTGAGTAAATGTAATTCGTTACTTTCCACCTCTGCACACAAACACCTTACATTGGAAAAATGTGAAGTCTAATTAGCCAAAAAGCTTACTGTTTATACACAAAGATCACGAGTGTCTTGCGCCTCAGAATTCCTGGTCAGCGTGATCTGTTTTGGCCCATTAGTCGTGTTTGTTGTTCGTTTTTCACCTACGCGTAGGCGATCTGTACAGATAAGCGGAGCTGTCAGACTTTCATTTTGGAACGTTTTACTGCGGTAAATCGACATCTGTCAGTCAGCTGAGTTCAGACATGTGACGGAGCCAAAGGTGGCTGCAGGAGGAAACGGTTGACGTGAACTCAGATAAGCTTCCTTCTCTGAGTTTCGCCCTTTCTCTTTTGTAGAACTTGTAGAACTAATTTGGTTTTTATCCTCATTTGTTTGTGGTCACAATGACAATTGTTGCGTTAACTGGAAGTTGACTTTCTTTATTTACTATAATTTGACTCCATAATGAGAAAATTGGTGGACTCAGGCTTCTAATCATTTGAAACCGTTTGTTGCTGCGCAGATAATAAAGACAGTGACTTCCTCCATTAGCCAGTGAAACAACTTCTGGAAGGATATTCCCTACAGATCCCTCTGGAACTCCCACTTCCTGAGAGAACAGCAGCTCTACCGATGATGTAAAACAGACTTAGAGAATGCTGACACAGCTTTAACCCCATTCAGAGTTTGCATCACAGACACGATAGTGACTGTTCCTGGCATCAACCTGCTGTTACTCTGCTGCAGACACTTTAAAAATGACACACACACACACACACACACATCAGGCAGCTTTGTACTTCCTGTGTCTCCAGAGGGTTAACTTCCTCCCAGAAGGTGTCCAGCTGTGCTGATCGGTGAAGTCATGAGACGGCGGTTAGCATTTTGTTTACCGTGACTCTCAGCCTTCAAAACAAGCAGCTTAGTGTCCGAACAGCTGCTTTTACTGTTCAGAACATATTAGTCACGCATTCAAATTTTTTTTTAACTGTTGTAATTTTGCAACGGAGTCAAAAGCCGGAACAAATCCAGTCCCATCGAGTCTTTTCACCCATTATGCAGGAGGCTGCAGCAGCTCAGAGGTTAGCGGTTGTTCCTACGGGACAGTTGGTCAGATCTTCGCTTGTTTTTAATTCAATTGAGTAAACTGAAGTCAGATCAGACGGTGTATGATCAGAGCCGGATTAACGCAAAGGCAAAGTAGGCACGTGCCTAGGGCCTGATTGGCTGGATGGGGCCCAGACAGAGGAACAAAATTATAAATAAATAAATTAAAAATTAAATGTACACATGTCCTATGATAGAATTTGTAGCTAGGACTCCTATCTACAATTTGTTTAAATATTTATCAATTAAAAAAATAGTGACAATGTTTATCTTAACCATAGACCGTTTCATTGGCTACATCACATTAAACCTCTGGGGTCCACGGACGAGTATACGCGTCTTTTGAACAGGTCTGATTTGGGACGCTGTAGCAGCAAGACTCCGCCTCCCTGAGTTTCGGTTTCAATTCAGCTTTAAAAAGCAGATTATAAACTACACCCCAGTTTTTAAATTTTGTTAATAGGCAACGTAAAAGCAGAGTTATACTAAACTAAAAAACGACCTATTTTTAGACAATCTGATAACTTGTCAAAACAGCGGTTTAGTAATCTGTGAGCGGGAATGTGCTTGTGAACATTAAAAACCCACAAAAACACGAGATCCTTTTGCTGTTGGTGGACGTCTCACATATTCAGCTGATAAAAAGTATCACACGAGTAACGAGATGTGCGCAAAAAGGAGCCGCTTCGCGGGGAAAGGAGTGGCGCAAACGGAGTAACAACAAACAATTAGACAGATATTGACGGTAAACTTTGTATTTTGGAGCGATCCGGACAGATATGTTGTCTCTGCAGTTTAGTAGGCTTTTATTAGGCTTTAATAAAGGATGATGAGAAGGATAAATGTCCACCAGGCAGGTCAGATAGTACAGCTGTTTTTTGAACTGGAAGCAGAGGAAGTGGACGGAGACTCGCAGCCGGAGTCTGAGGCAAATAGCGAGGATGATGATGATGATGTGGCAGATCCATCCTTCCTCATAGAAGAGTTGGGCCATGATGAGGTAGAGGATGAAGGCAGAGATCCAGCTCCTCGGAGATCCAACAAGAGGAGTGGGCGGCGCCGCACAGCTGTCAGATCTGGCGTGAGACGGAGCCACTCCCCACTCCAAAATCCATGTACATTATTGCCAAATTAATAAAATAAGTATAAATTCAGATAGTCCAGGTTGTCCTGAAATTAATGATACCCCATAAGGCAATATTTATTGTTTTTATTAGAAAATACAAAAGAAAAACCAAAATGAGTCAAAAACGGTGATTTACACTCTGGATCCCAGAGAGCTAATAACTTTTTTTAATTAGTTATTTGCTATATTTAGTCATATTTTTTATAAATGTACAGTCTAGATTACCAGTCTAAATGATAAAAAACATTTGTCATAAATGTTTGTTGGTTTCACAGTAAAATAAACAACTTTTTTCCTATTCAGATTTTATGTTTTTGAGTGATTTAAGGTCTAATATGCAACCCCTTTATGTCCAAATATACAAAATAAGTATAGATTCATAAAGTCCAGGTTGTGCTGAAAAGATTGATACCACATAAGGCAGTGGTTATGGTTTTTATTTTGGAAATACAAAGGAAAACTCACTGCAAATTACACCCTGGACCCCAGAGGGTTAAGGCGCCACCCAATGAAGGACGTCAGAGAAGCGGTCAAAGTCAGAGCGGGACACAACAAAGCTAGCAGGTGTTTTTGAGTAGGCTAACTTTCACGATGCTTTCAGGTGCGGCAAAACGTAAAAAAGAAAAATATTTAAATGAAGAGGAACTAAAGAAGAGACAGCGGGGGGCTTTACAGAAGTTTCTGTCGGGCTGCTCGGGCAGCCGTCCGACAGCTGTGAACATGCTCGAGTCAGCAGAGCCAGAGGCCGGGCCCAAGTCAGACCCGGAGGAGACACAACCCGAAGACGCGGTGGAAGATGTGGCGGAAGATGCTGTAGCGCCAACGCCGTCAACATCAGCGCCTTCACAGAAGGACAAACTGGAAGAACAGCAGCCAGCCAGAAGTGAGCCCAATATAGTCTTACAGGAGCCCCTAGACCCAGACAGGGTATTAACAACTAGCTACCCATCTGATCCTGCAAAGTGGTACCAAACTGATGAGTACTTTGCACTAAACTATCGCTCTCAAAATATTGGATATTCTTCTGCATCACAGAGGAAATCTGGAGACATAGACTGAAGCTTAACCAAGGAACATTTCTTTAGACGTGTTTCTGCTGTGATTGAGGCCCTGTGATGCTGGAAGGCTGAAGATTATCCCGGAGTAGAGAATGCTAAATGGTTTCCTTGGTAAGTGTTGCTGGTTTTATTAATTATTTGTCAAATAATTTTATTAATGTTCAAATAGCAAAACAATAAGTTCACACTCAGAAAATTGACAGAATTTCTGATTCAGCAGAGGCAACAGCCTACAACACATGACTTATTTTGGCATACAAACAACCAATTTGTAACCAAAAACTAGGCTATGTAAAATGTGAATGAACTTTTATAAGTAAATTTTGTAAGTTTCAGATTTCAATTCATTACATAACATCGATGGAGGGGGGGCCCTAAAAATGCAGCCTGCCTAGTGTAGTCCATTTATTTAATCCGGCTCTGTGTATGATGTAGAAATGTGTCTGATTTTAATTGAACTCTCAGAAAGTAATCCTGCTGTGAAAAATGAATTTACCCATACAGATTTCACGGTTTTGCTTTTTTTGTCCCTCAATTATTTCAGATCTATGAACACATTTCACTCAAAGACAACCTGTACTTTTTATTTATTTTAATAAATAAGACAATAAGCCAAAAGATCTCAAGAAGCAGCATGTCATGTCTTGTTCTAAAGGCCTTCAAGAATAAAAGAACCCAGAAGAACATCTGAACCTGAGTGAGGTTTGGGTCAGGGGTACAAAAATGGGATCATGGAAGTTCCTGCTGACCAAAAACAACACAGACATTTGCCAAAAGACATCTTGATGTTTTCTGAGCATTATGAGAAAGATTCTGCTGCCCGAGACAAACGCGGAACATTTTGGATCCCGTGGTGTGAAACTACCACTGCGTTTCAGATCTTCAGCATCATACCAGCAGTCAGGCATGGTGGTGGTAGTGTGATGGTGTGAGGCTGCTCTGCCGCTTCAGGACCTGGACCAGCTGCTGTAAATGATAGAACCATGAATTCTGCTCTTTAGGTGAAGATCCTGAAGAAAATTGTGTGACCTTTGACCTTAAACAGTTGTTCATGAAGGTAAACCTTTAGATTCAAATCCATGAAGAGTTGGGCAAGTTCGTCCAGTTTTTGGGTCTAACCGGTTTAGGAGTAGGTTACATTTCCACACGTCGGTCTGCTTTAGTGTGTTTTGTATTTATCGTGTGAGAGTTGACCCGAACAGCTCGAACTACACCGTTTCTCTGTTGGACTCAAATAAAAACATGAATCAAAACTCAGCCTTTAATTTTACCAAATGTTTTGTAGGCTTTCATCTTTTAGTTTCCTGGAAAACGTCTTATTGTGATTTTGTGTGAAAACCGTGAAAATCCCCAGCGTGGTGTCCTTGTGCTCATGTTTTATATGAGTGTGTGTGTGTGTGTGTTTCAGAGTCGGCGTCCTGGAGGATGACTTCACCTGCCTCGGTATCCTATGTGCCATCTTCTTCTTCCCCTTGGGCATCCTCTTCTGCTTCGCTCTGCGTCAGAGACGGTGTCCTAACTGTGGAGCCACCTTCGGCTAGAGGGACCAAACTGCAGCTCTATTCACAGTTCTACTCCTATTCACACACACACACAAACACACGTAATCCTGCATTTTTATATACAAATCGGATTGTGTCATGACTTTTTGGGGCAAGTTAGGAGTCTTTTTTTCACCTACAGGTTGTTTTAAAGCTGCTGCCAGTGCCTTCACCACACACTTAGTGGTCAGTCATGATTTCCTCCGAGGTTTCAGGGATCTTGGCAGATTCCAATGCCATTAGAAGTTTATTTTTGCCAATTCCTCTCATATCTAGCTTTGAGTTAGCATACCATTTGGCTACGCTGCACTCTGATCACTTAAGAATTAGGTTTTTATAGCAGGAAATGCAAACTTGTTCCCTTTTATTTCTTCCATGCTGGGATGAAGAGAATTTCTTTGGACATGATCTGCTCGGACTGAAACGGAAAACGTTATGCTTGACAGCATTTTGTTAGTTCTTTTTTGGGGCCACATTTGGACTGAATTTTTGATGATTCTGCTGGGTTGTGCTTTCCAGGGCCAATGCAGACCTCAGGTATATACAATCTGAAACGCCCTCGACTTTACAACCTCACCGATCGACTGATTGACTGTGTCAAAGTAGCCGGGGTAGGAGCTGAAATCCCTCAATGGCGTGTGTAATCTCCAATTTTTATTCTACTGACAAATCACCTTCCTCCCAACCAGACAATCAATCCAGAATGTGTCTGCAACCGTCTTCCACTGCAGGAGGTTTAAATCTGTTCTCGTTGGGGGGTATAAAGGAGTCTTGCTTTAGGAAACACTACGCACGCTCTTATAATTAAGACTTTTTTATATGTATATGACTTACTGTAATTAAAACAATGCTACTTACATTTGTCTCGTTTCTTACTAAAGGTACACTTGACAATCTTTGGTTCATCTGGTTCTGACTATATGCATCGCTAAGAAAACTATTCTCATAAATTGGAAAAATAGAGATACTCTGTACATTAACCAGTATAGAAATCTTTTGTTGGATCATATTACACTTGAGACAGCCTCTGCCTTCACTTCAAATCAAACTCTCTGGGCTCCTTTGATCAGTTCCATCACATAGTGATGATGAGGGGGGTCATCATTGATATTGTCCTGCAGGATACTGCGGGTGATGAGGTGGATGTTTTGAGTATGGGCTGTGTGGTGGCATCAGCTGGCGTAGGCCAGACAATGCCTACGCTGCCCGCTCCCCCCAGCCATGGAATACACTCCATCAACACGCATCAACACTGTATTGGAGCAGGCGGAGGGAGACTAGGGGTCTTAGCACACCTCTACTGTCCCTCGGCTTCCCGGGACTGCAGGCTAGGTGGCTGTGTGGTTGGGGCCGGGGGGGATTTGTTCGGCGTTGAGTGCCTGCTCATCACCCCCAGCAGAAAGGGGCTGACTGGTGACCGGTGATGGTTGTACTTTTTGTGCAGCAGTACCGGGACCAGAGTGAATAGGGTGTGTTTGGGGAGCATGAGTGGGTGTCTGGCGTGCATTTTTGTAAGTCTTAGGGCATATGTGCATGTGTGAGCATGAGGGAGGGTGTGTGAGACTGTGTCACTGTATATGTCTGTACTCCCCCCCCCCCCCCCCCCCCTTCTCTCCTGGGACTTCTTGTGCTACTACATGTCTTTACCTACCCTCCCCCTGCCACATTTGGTGCTGAGTGGGGTGCCTCAGTCTCCCTGCGTGTTCGGGGGGCTTAAGATTTTTGGTATCTGTCTGATTGATTCCGGTGGCTGCCTGGTGGGATCTAAGTCCCTGGGCTCTGTTGAGTCCCCGGCAGGGCTGGTCGCCCCCGAGTCCCGGGTCGCTGGGTTCCGGGCTCGGACGGCTTGGGGGTGGGAGGCTGCGGGCGGGCCTGTGGGCTTGCTGCTGTTATGTCCCGGGACTCTGCCAGCTGCTGGTTGTGGCCTCCTGGGGCAATCCTCTGTGACTCTCAACAGGGGGGCTGTGGCTTCTCTGGTGACCGTCTTCTTCAGGTCCCTACGCTCTGGGGCACCTTCTGGATCTCTGGGGCTTTAAGCTCCCTCCATCTCCTACACATCTTTGAGGGGTAGATCTGTGGCCCCTCACACTCACTATTGGACATGCCTATAGAGAAACCTTACATATAAAAGTGCATGTACGCACACAGGTGCTCACATAAGTATGGACTTGGGCATTTTAAACACGTCTTAAGGCTGTTGTTGGCACTAAATGCACAGTGATTTATTATCGTGTGATTGTTCAGCAAAACAATGTTGAGTTTATAATTCCTCATCAGGTTGACACAGTGATAGCTTGCTCTAGTTGTATTGTTGTGTGTCCCTTTTCTGGAGGTCCAGAAGCAGATCCCTGTTCGTTTATTTTTGAAGTTGCAAGTGCGGGATTCTGGCCACCGAGGGCGACATTTCAATAACTCTGTAAATGGTCGTTTTAGTACATACTCGCTCAAGAAAATGAATTAAAATGATGAAATGGCTGCATGGCTTTAAATGAGTAAAAATGAAATAGTCATAAAACATCAAAATGAATAAACTTTATTTAGCAAATTATATTCCGTTTGTGATGAAGGATGAAAACAAATCATACACCATCTGTAATAGTTAAACAATTGCACTGTCAAGATAAAGACTTAAACAGGTAAAATGTATTGTACAGCGTGTTTCTGTGTTAAGGCACAAGTGTCCACGTTACAAACATTATTTAAGGTGGCAATGGACGACAGAAGATCAGCACGAGTGTATATACAAGAGGACAACCCCCCCCCCCGTGCCACGCCGCCTTTGTCCTCAGCAACAGGAAATCACAGTGAGCAGAGGCATTAGGAGCTAGAGGGGAAGAGTCTTTCACACGTGTGTCCTATGGCCACAGGAAAGATCCACATAGAAACATCAACAGCATAAATACATTCAGACATTTGCTCTGAGTTTTTATTCATCTGTAGCTCAAAGTGCAGGTAAGAATGTGGTCGTAATCTCACCACGACACAAAGGGTTTAAAAGAGACATAAATATGTGAACATCTGTTCAGGAAATAAAACGCTCCCGGCATTCATGTTCCGCCGTCTCACCCCGTAGCAGCGAGGGGGTCCTTTATGTTTGTATCCTGATCAGGTGGAGATGCCGGACAAACGGAGACTAAACTATGTGACCACAGCGTGATGAGGACAGTCAGATGACTGGAGCAGATCGATCGTTGGTCACAGTGGGACGTAGCCTGACTGTAGAGAATGGGTTTCCTCCGCTGTGAAGAGGCAGAAATAAAGAATTAAGTGTGTCTGAGTGAAAAAAGCGTAAATAGAGATTGTGTGACCTACGCAAGGTATGCAGGCGGAGGTCTCGAGACGCCGTTGGACTGCACCTCCTGTGGAGAAGACAGCTATTTATGTAAAACTTAAAACACAAAAATCAACCCTCTTACTGCTGTTTTAGCATCACATTTTACATAAGCCTATGTGTATTCTGTGCTGCTAAAAGACAGAATGGCGGGAATGAAAAGAAAACTTTGCTTCCTCAGATGACGAGACAGATCGTGGAAGCTGGAGCTTCTGGAAATTCAAGTTGCATCAAGCAGTCAGGTTTTTTTTTTTTCCTGAAGAGTCGGTTTGTGCCAGAGGGGTTGAACAAGCACTTATGCTGAGGACATCAACGTGTCCTTGGGAGGGTTTGCTCCAAGTACTAAAAACCTTTGTAGCATGTTTTTAGACAAATCTGTTAGCTAGCACCAGAGCTACTTTAGCAGCATTTAAAACTCAAAATGTTCCTCCTGAGAAAAAGGTAATGACTTAAAATAAACTTCAAAAGAAACACAAAACATGAACTAGATGGAAGGAAAATCTAAAAAGGTAGCTGCAACCTTTGCGTGAGAAAACATATGTAACGTTATTATTATCACTACACATATAAACCCAACTGCATTACAGTTCCTTGTTCAACACAGTAAAAGTGGTACTTTTACCTTGTTTTTGCCGATGTTTCAACTATCACTGTAGCCTTCCTCAGAGCTAGCCGCTAATGGCGGCATCACTTCCTCCTCTGTTTATCTACGGCAGCAGAGGACAGTGTAACCCTCTGCTGCCCGCGCTCTCCTCGCCGATGACACTGTCTCATGCGTGATCCAATGTGTAGACCCCATCATCTCTAGTCATGGTTGTGTGTCCACGTCGCTGCTGTGTTTTCAGTTTTTTTTCCTTCTCACACTCCTTTCTATGTTCTGCTGTTCCGTGTGTTGAGTTGGCGCCTGGTTTCTCGTATGTATGTATGTATTATTGCGGAGTTTGCATGGGATATTGTACACCACTACATACTTATGTCCTGCTGGTACCTTGTCTTTTGGGTGTACTAGTCTTTTTTTCTGTTGTGAATGGCTTTGTTGGTGTGTTTATGTTGTGGTTTTTCCTTGTTGCCATTATTTTTCCTGTTACACCTTTGACATATGGAAGAGTCATCACTGGTTTTGGTTCTTGTTTTTCAGGATTTTTGGTTCATTGTTTTGATAGCTCTTTTCTTTCTGTTGTTGTTTGTTGTTTTACTTTATTGCCCATGCTGGGTATCCGCAGGTCTTGAAAGCATTTTGTATATGTTGGTTCTCTTGTTTACTCGTTCTTCTGTTGTTGTTTGCTCTGTGGTATAATGTGACCACTGACATTTTATGGGGTGTTCTGATGTCCATAATACATATTGGTCTGTGTGTGTTGGTTTTACTGTATGTGTGTATATTCAGGGTCCCGTCTTTTTGGCTGCTTATTTTCATGTCCACGAAGGTTATGCTGCTTTCTATTTCTTCCTCATATGTAAATTTTATGTTTGTGTCGTCGATGTTGTTCAGGTCTTCTGTTCGTGTCGCCATTTGCCCTTTTGGTAAGATTTCTAGAAAGTCGTCCACGTAGTGTATCAAAAATTTTATTTAGCAGTTTGGGGGAGCAGTGGCTGTGGCTTTTTGTCTAAGTCCTCCATGAAAAAGTCACAAAGGGTGGCTGATAACGAGTTACCCAGGGCGAAGCCTTCCAGGTGTTTGTATATTGCTCCGTCGTATGTGAAGTATGTGGAGTTTACCAGTTTTATCAGTTGTGCTGTCATCTACTGTGATGTGTAGAGTTTAGTCCCATCTGATTCTGTTTACTACTAAGTCGATCTATCTGGGGTTGGTGTTTTTGTGAACAGGGATGCAACGTTGTGAGAATAGTATGTTGGTGTCTTCTATTGTAATCTTTTTTAGTTCTTTTGCCAGTTCTGTTTGAGAAATGTTGGTCTGTGGTACCTAATAGTGGGCTGATGGAGTTGATGGAGTTACGGATTTCTTTTGCCATATTGCATGTTGGTGTACCTATGCTGTCTACCATTGGTCTAAGCGGGGTGTTCTGTTTGTGTATTTTCAGGGTTCCATAGATTCTTGGGATTATGTTTGCTGTTGGAATCTAGTGTTTGTTATTTTGCCTTTTTCTTGTAGTGTTTTCAGTCATCTACATGTTTTTCTTGATGTCTTCTGTTGGATCTTTAAGTGTTTTGTATGTATTTTTGTCCATTAGCATCTGTTCCAGCTGCTTGTATTTTTTCTTTGTCTGTTACCACTGTAGTTCTTCCTTCATCTGCTGGTAGAATAATGATGTGTTCATTTTTAGCTAGCGTGTCACAGCTAACATCGTCCTCTGCTGCCCGCTGATAACGGAGATGGAAGTGACGCCACAACAGCGGCAAAGTTCTGAGGAAAGCTTTATTCTTCAACGTCTGCGAGCGTTTGGATTTTAAATGACGACTTTTGTCGTCAATGGCAGTAAATGAGTTCAAGCTGAATTTACGTTATGTACACGCACCACATACATTTACGCTTCTGAGATTATTAAAATCACGGTCACATGACTAAACAAATACACATCACCCTCTGAAACAGATAAACAGATGGAACCAAGATGGAAAAATATCGGCCCAGTGTTATTTATGGACCGGATACAGACATGTAAAAAAATGACCAACATCGGCCGATACTGATATTGATGAATATTGTGCATCCCTACTAAAAATGCACATTTAGGTGGAATTAACTTTAATCAAAACAGTGAACACAATTTTTTAATCATTCTCAGAAGAAATAAACGATACATATTCTAAAAGCCAAAGCAAAACAAATCAGCCTCTGAGTAAAATCTTGCAGAACCTTGAAGTGCCCACCAGGGGGCAGACACAGACAGTTGCACCAGACTATTCAGACAGTAGTTGAACCATCTAGGAATAATTCTGACACATTTTTGTATTCCTGTTAGATGTTGAATCTAATGATAACATGGTGCAAAAGTCCATTTATGTCAGTAATCCATCTTAGACTGAGAGACCATCTGAAGGCTCAGGAACCCTTTGCAGGTGTTTGATGAATTAGCTGATTAGAGTGTTACACTTTAAGTCTACAACATTGAATTGATTTTATAACAAATAAAGGCCTGAAATATTTGGCTTTGCATGCAGTGAGCCTATCTCATGTATTAGTTTCACCCTTTAAGTTGAACTGGTGACATAAATGAACTTTTGCACCATATTGTAATTTTTCGGGTTTCACCTGTATAGCCTCCTCTAGTTCCTCTGCATTGAATCCTGCATGTCGCTATCTTCACCTTTAAGGCACGAAACCTATGAGGGTGCATTTCTCCGTCATGGTAAACTAGCATTCAAGAATAACCCCTCCTCCCACCAGCATTCTCTCACATTTTTCTTCTCATGTTTTCCAGGCTAACCTGCGTCCTCCTTTAAGGGATTAGCCGACGCAGACTGCAATCAGCTTTAAGAGAAAGAATGTGGAAACCACACCTGGGCTTTCTGGCCTTCATTCAAACAAACACTGGAATTGTTAATGTGAGAAAAAACAACACCTTAAACTAATTGTTTCATTAAATGAAAGAAAATTTATGAAGGATGCAGCAACAAGTTGCCAACGCACACAACAGCCACCCACCGGCGCTCCGCTGAACATAAACCAGAGCATTATATTCTGTTTGAGCTCTTTTCCCACACACGTTTATTCTAGGATCAGCTGATATGTCTGAGTTTTGGAGAAGGCGGAGGTTTAGGAGTCTGTAAGAAGGAATGATAATCTCCTCTGTTGCTGAATTTGACGACCAGGAGAAGTGATTCTGATGCTGAGATTGATTTGGGAATAACAAATGAGAGTAGAGATAAAGACAGACTGACACTCATGGATCTGACTGTTTAGGGTTTGCCACAACTAGCTTCAGCATTTGTTGTACATTTAGTGCAGAAAAGAAGCATGAACACAACAGGAGGGTTTGTTGTGTAGGTGTGAACGACCACGATGTCTGGGCAGGTGGGTGTGACCTCTCCACCCTCACACACATTTACATTCAGCACACGACAACAACAACAAAAACCTCCATGGACACAAGCCACAGCTTTGCCTGGGACTTTGCATAGGACGCAAATGAGGGGACATCTTTGGCAAGAGAGTTTAGACAAAGTTGTCATGCCGTCTCACTGAAGCTGCATCATTACCAGCAGTCCACACTATTTGAATAATATTATTAAAAATAAACTTAAGAAAAGTAATGCTTTAAGCTCTCGTTCACTCAGTTTATCTGCGGCGGTCTTTATGATGAATGGATGCCTTGGGAGTTGCTTTCTGTGGAAAAAAAAAAGCTCTGACGCTCCTGTTTCAGGGGGTTAAAATAAATGTAGAGGAATGGGGGAGGGCAACAGCACTTGGAGTCTTATTCATTAATATTTCTCTATTCACAGTTTTTTTATTGGGTAAAAAATACAAACTTGTTGTTTACTTCCACAAATAGCAAACACCCAAAGGAGTTCTGCCATGTTGTTGAGTTGCTAATGCTAACCGTTAGCTTCCACTAGCCGAGACGTGCTCTGCTCTCCTGGGTGCTAAATAAACAGCCAAGATGGGTGAGTCTATGAATGCAAATTATTTTTTTGCGTTCAGGGGTTTCCCTGCAAACAGAACCAAGTTTCGTAAAACTGGCGATCATTTAAGGGATTATAAAATAAAGTTTGCATGAAATGTTGTGAAAATGAGAAAAGCTCTCTTTGGTCATGTCTGCCCTCAGATTAGCGGTTAGCTCCTAAGTGCTGAAGGATGGAAGTGCTGCTTCTCCGAACAGACTTCTGGTAGCCATCTAGATTCAATAGAAACGTAGGCGTGTCACAAGTTTTAACTAGGCTTTTTGCTGTGCTCTTTACCTGTACTAAGGGTCAACAAGCATGCTAACTTTAGCATACTGCACTGATTAGCTCCGCAGGCTTCAGATACAAACGGTAACGGCGAGAAGGTGGTGAACTCATAGTAAATGGACAAAAGTTTGACTGATTAAACTAGCAGTTGCCTCCCCATCCCTCTCTGCTGTGCTGCAGCTTTGTTTCCAGAGCTCCTTGCAGTGGAGGTTGCAGATACAGAGTGGTAACTATAGCAACAGGAGCAGTGAGCGACACAAGTTCGAACCTCCTCCCAGTTCTGCGCAGTGATTCTGACACAGAAAATGTGGATTCTTGCGAACAGCATCAGAGCTACACGACTAACTAAGGGGAAAACTGATCAGGATGCATTCATGCTACCAACTGATTTAGCAGCAACAGGGGGAGGTGACGAGTTTCTTCATCTGATAAACAAAATGACAAACTTAGGCTGAGTGGTGAGAAACTAAGCATCACAGCCTGTGTCGCGCTGGAACGACCAGAAAGAACAAAAACATTTTCAGACAGCAACTCAAGTCCAAGTGATTGATTTTTTTCTTATTGTTGGTGAGCCTACGCAGAGCAGGTTCAGGTTTCCTTTGCAGACACATGAAGTTCATCTGACACCACGCATGTACAGCCATCAGCAGTGGAGATAAGGCTGTACGGCTGACGGTATTGTAATCACGCAGCAGTAGGTATCGGGTGGCCGCATAATGCCAACCATAAAAGTCAAACCAAATAAAATGACTCAACCCCCCACTCTTCTCACAGACTCACCGTGACCTGATCGGAGGAGGTGGAGGAGGGCGTAGGGGAGTGCTGGTGGTTGTTTGTGACGGCGCTGTTTGTTGATGAGGGGTTGTTCCCAATGGAGTTGCTCTTCAGGTCGTTTCTGTAGTCAGCTGGGGGGAGCACCATAGTCGCCTCGTCCGTCTCTGTGTCAAGATGGTGGAGATTCACCACACTTTTGCTGCGGTGTGAGACGGCAGCTTCACTGTGAGGAGATTGGTGGTGAAGTTAGGAAAGAAGTGAAAAAAATCCTCCAAAACCCCGTATGCTCTCTCAAATGAAGGCATCACGAGTTAAAAGAAGATTCAAACTCAGTTTCACCTTTAAGTTGATGTCAAATGCTTAAAGGAGTGATGGAAAATTGGAGCTGAAGGGTAAAGGAAATGGAAATATCAACTTTCTGAGTGGCTTCCTGAACCTCTCTGTGGGAGGTACATCTCAAAAATTAGTCCAACAGGATTTAGTCTCTTTAGAAATGCGTGGAGTCGACTCTCATCAACAAAAAACTTATTTACAGCAAAAAACTGTTTCTGGAACGCTACCAATGAGAATGATCTATCTCCACAAATAACACAAGCTGGAAGTTCTGCTGTGTGGTGGAGTTGCTAATGCTAACAGTTAGCTTCTACTAGCCAAGATGTTCTCTGCTGTTTCCTGAATGCTAACCCAACAACAGCTTTCCCCGTTACATAGACGTTGATCTGATAGGGTTTTCAAATCCTACAGTTTCACCATCGATTTTCTATCAGAAGCTAACACAGGAGAGCGGTGTAGGAGACTATTTTCATGTTCAGCCTGCATGAAAAACTCAGACTGACATATTATAATCAGAAATAATCATTTTAAATGTTTTATCCGTTAACACCACTTTAAAGCTGCATCACAAGCATGAGAGGCACATGATGAAAAACATTTAAATCGCTTTAAACATAAATTTTTCCGGAGTCTAAATGATTTACGTGACTTTAGGGCGGATTTGACTCGAGGACCAAAGGAATCAAGAATTGAGCAACAAGAGAGTTTCTGATGGGATCGGAAAGGTTATCGCGTCAGTAGAAGTAACTAGAGGAAACACGGCCAACAATACAGCTGGCTGCAACACAAAACCTGCTGCATGTCTGTGAGTGAGTGAGTGAGTGAGTGAGTGAGAGAGAGAGAGAGAGAGAGAGAGAGAGAGAGAGAGAGAGAGAGAGAGAGACAGAGAGAGAGAGAGAGAGAGATGTGGAGTCCCCTTACCTGTTGTTATTCACGACGGGATCAGTGAGAGCACGGCAGTACGAACTCGGGAACCAGCCCCTCCTGAAACAAAGAAATGAGGAAGCTAAAAGTTAAAGAGCAAGTCACCCCCAAATCAATTTTTTTGCTGATAAATTATACAAGTGAGTGTCTAATCGTGATGTAGACATGTGTAGTCAGTGATTTGGCACTTTATTGCATCTTAGTTAAAAATTTAAAATTCTGCCTAAAACTGTCAGTGTTGCACCCTCTTCAGGTAAAAACTCTGCACTACATTTTAATTTAAATCTGCCACTGCTGTCGGCTAAGAGGTACCCTTTGATGCTAGCTGGTAACATATGATGCTGTAAGCCTGTGTGTTTGTTAGTGGCTCCACCCTCAGTCTGCCAGGCAACGCTTCCTTTGCGGCACATTATTCAAACAGGAAATGGAAGTGGAGTTAGACTCTGGTAGGGGGCAACTTGCTCTTTAAGAATAATTACACCTGTGGTCCTTAATCGGTTCAGCTCAAAGACTTTTTTTATTCGTCTCCTTTATATCTTAAACAAAAACAGAAACTAAATGGACAAACAGATAATTACATGATTAGATTTAAATATTTAAATACTCAAATTAAAGGCAGCTTTAAATTGTTTTAGAATGTTACCTTTGACTTTCTTTTATTTTCATTTACTTAATCTTTAACAATAACATCAATAATTTAAAGAAGATATGTTTTTCCGAGTGAAGTCTTACTCTGAACCTTCTAAGACCATGAATTAATCTGTGGGTTTAATACACGAGTCAACCCCTCAGCTTGGTTTCTTTGGCCTCAGAAAAAAATAAATCATGCAGCCATTTGTTCCAACCCACACACCAACCAAAATAAACTATTATTGAGGAGAAAATACAGATAAAGCTGGAGAAAAATGAGCTGCCATGAGCAGATATTCAACATGTGTGAAAGGTTGACTGAGGACGCTTCCTGGTTTCTGCCAACAGGAGTAACCAATCACACTTCATGATTGTTGTTCACAAACAAACAGTCGTACGAAGAGAAACAAAAACGTGAACATTTACTTTAAAACTTACACCGAGCAGAAAGTCCTCAGCATTTATGTTCCATGGCTGGTTCTCCGGATGCCCACTGACCCCATTAATCTCATCAACTGTTACTCATTCTCACCGGAAAAGTTTAAATCATAGCAAATAAACTCCAGACGAGTTTGACCTCACAACAGAATACACGTTTCTCACGTCAGACCTTTACACCAAGTCGGTTTCAATAAGAGAAAGAATGGTTGTGTATTGTAGGAGAAGCTCTGACTATGCATAGCCGCGTTGTCATGGTAGCAGATTATGATTCAGCCTCTCCCTCATTGTTAGTGAATGTTAATATTTGATCTGGAGCTCGGTGTAACAGCCACTTCCTCTGTATTTATGATAAACTCACGACCTGCTGGAAAACATGCGCTGAGTCACACTCATCAACAATGATCAGGTTATGGCTTTCATTCAGAACCATTGTTAGCATCTGCTACTGCACCAGCTGAGCTAAACAGCCTGGTGACCTTTCACACCGTCCTGGACTCATGCTGGGCCTGGTGACCGTTAATCACCAGCACATTCTTCACGCCCTGGGTTCAAATGAATCGGACATTTATAAATACCATCCACCTGAATACCGGTTGTCAGGTGAGCTGCAGGATTATCAAAACTGATTTATTAACAGGTAACAGGACCAGTGAAAAAGCATCAGCCAAGCATCAGTTTTAGACCTCTGGGCATTTCGGCTCACCCCTCCGGCAGGAAAAAGGAAACAACAAAGTTTTCTTCACGGCTTTTGAAAGCCTCTCAGAACCTTTCCAACCTTGATCGGGTTTTTTAGGATATATCTGCCAGGTAATTTCCCTTGATAGCAGCAGAGATCAGACCTGATGAATGATTAAAATTTAAACACAGCTGTTGCGGCTTCGGATCAAGTCTCTGTTTAAAGAGTCAGACATCAGAGCCGTGGGGAGAGCGGGCTTTGTTGAAGCCGCTGTGTGTGGGAGAGCAGGTGGTTTTCTACATTTTCTGGTTTTTCTTTCAGTCTGCTGTCGAACTTCCCTCCCTCTGGCCATGCTTCACTTTGACTCCCTCACCAGTGAAGGTTCCAGCAATGACACGCCTGCAGGCGTGTGAGCAAATGGACTTGGTCAGCCTGATCATCAGGCAAAACGCTGTCGATCCACTCAGGGCACCGCAGGTCATCCATTATTATTATTAGGTTATCTACTAAAAGGAAAAAGACTGACACAACCATGGAGGATGTGATTGTATATTCGATCTTCCAGTAAGAAGGATTTTTAAAGACATTTATAGAAAGTCATCACAAACCTGTTGTGTAATTGTTAAATGCCCACCTGAGGCAATAAAGTACTTCAGTTCAATTCTATTGCGGTTATTATAAAAAAGGGGATTGAAGACTCAAACCTGGTCTTTCCACTGAATGTGTGAGCAACTCGTAACGTGTTAAAAGTGTTTTACAAGATCACAGCGGCACATCCCTTCCCACCAGGAATGGTTAAAGATATTGGCCAGAGGCAAAGTTTCTTTGAACGGCACAAGTAAAGAAGTATTAAAACCTCAGATGAAAAAGGTTTTTGGATTTTCACGGCTGGGTTTTGAAGAAAATCTGATGTTTTTGACTGGCGCAGCAAAAACAGAGACTAGCTTGTGGTCTAAGCCCTGAGCAGCTGGTTACGTTTGACAGGGATATCTGCAGAAACAGCTATAGGAAACAACCCCAGGCTCCGGTGTTTCTGCGTTAGCGTTAGAGCAGAGAACAATGTGCCATTAGTCAGATGTAGCTTCTGAAGCCTCTGCTAGTCGGTCAGATAGGTTTTTACTCTGGGATACGGCGACGAGGACGGATATTGTATAACTGGAGAAGTTCAACTAAACTCTGAACCCACTAGCTGGATGTTGCTACCGGAGGAGCATACATGCTTTGGACAATTTGACTCAGAAGACCCGTGACCCGATTTGGACACCGGGGAGGATTCTGTTCATCTTCACAACCGAAATTGGTATAGTTTGTTCACTTTCTGTTGTTTTGTTTCATTTCTGTGTGCATGACTGTGTTGTAAAGCACCTTGGGGGGGTGGGGGGGGGGGGGGGGGGGTGGCTGGGGGATGTCCCAGGACTCTAGAAGGTGCTTTATCAAATACAGACCATTTACCTTGTGCTCCACCAGGTGCTCTCAGGTGACGAGTTCTCAGCTGGTCTTAGCTCCATCATCAGTTCCAATATAATTCAATAATCTACAGATGAATAAAATAACGTGCTGCCGGTTTTACCGCTGTGTGCATATATTGATACAACTCTGGAAAATATTTAACCAATAGTTACCAGAATAAATCTTCCTGATACTGGAGTAACTGGTTAGTTTGACTCGTTGTTTGCACTAATCCAGGATGGCACAGAGGTTCTACCAGTCCCAGGAGGCTCTGTTGCTGAAATGCAGGATCATCTTTTAGATTATATCTGTGTGTGTGTGTGTGTGTGTGTGTGCCGTAGCTTTCCCACATGACATGTTTTTCCTTAACGGAGCTAACACGGTTAGCAGTGTTGCTGCAGTTATGCTAACAGGACTCATCTGGAGTCCAGAAGTAGCGGCGCGGTTCCAGATGGATTTATATGTAGGTTATTTTAGATCAGACCTATGTTATTTAAAAATGCGTGTAGGACACGGACATATGGCTCAGACCTTTTGCTGCAGCTGTAAACACAATTTTCTGTGATAATTGAGAGCACAAAAGCAAACAAAGTACAGTAATTCACAATACTAGCAACAGCAGCTACCTTATTTTACGTGTTGGAGTGATGTATGTGAAACAGTTTCTCTCTCTGGAGGAGAGGATTTGGATTTTCTGTAATGATTTATGAAAAAACTTCCTTAACAAAATGAAAAACTGAACTCAGTTCATACTCATATAGATGGTAAAGTGTTATACTGCATTTCTACAATTTATTGCCGAGTCTGGCCTTTAAGACACGAAACAGAAGGGAACCATTCCAGGCAGTCGGTTCTGATCAGGAAATCACTGGGCAGTTGCAGGACCACGAGTGATAAAGGCAGCAACATGCATCCAAAAAGGTCTGTGATTTATTTTCAGTTCAGCTTTCCTCAGCTACAGAAGTTTCACAGGCTAGGACAGATTTTTTTAGCTAAGCAACGGGAAATCTGCAAGACTTTTATTTATAAAGTTTCCAAATGTCTTACGTCTTTGACTTCCTGCCTGGCTCGATCCGAACTGCTGAGCTTGATGCATTCTGGACCCACAGCGTGTTAAAAAAATAGACTTAGTGTAAATTTAGAGAAAACATCCAAAACATGACACTTCTCGCTGTTGGAAACACACGCGTCGACTATAATGGTGGCTAAATGATGCGCATTTCGCTTCACAGACGTAACACGATGCTTACCAGTCTGGTGGAAGAGCCTGGTGAGGTTCAGTTGCTAGCAGGTATGAGGCATCATCAGTTGCATCTTTGTATTATTGATATTTTCTTACCTCCCTAGTTCCTTCTCATTTGAGCTCCTTCTACAAAGGTTCTATAGGGTCTAGAACAAGGTTCATAGGAGGCCCCTTGAATCAACCAATTATTATTTTCCTCAATCTGCAACTCGTCAGCGGTGAAGCGGTCCGCCTGCAGCCTGGGAGACGGCCTCTGACCAGCTGATGCGGATTCAGAGGAACACGGCACATGGCATCTAGAAGTAAAGCTCCTCGCTTGCAGAGGAAACTTCCTGCCAGCCGGATCGCCGAGAAGCCTCTACACACACGGGTACCGTATCTCTGCACTGGCTTTGGATGGGTGAAGATTAATTTGATATTTTGTTGCACCTCACTAAACAGCCAGATTTATTTTATAAACCCCGACATCACTTCTTTCTGAGTCACTTATTAAGCTCTTAATACCACAAAAGGTCACGTTTGATCAGAGTTTTGTCACTGTCTCAGTTGATATTACCTTTAAATACACATTTACAATCATTTGTTCTGTTTCATCATTAGTAGAAATATAGTATTACATAGATTTTATAAACTATTTGTTGCTTTTGAGTCAAATTATTATAGTGTAGTTTTCCTGGCATACCCAAAGTTCCTAGTTCAGAGTTTCTCCTACATAGGCTCATGCGTGGCGCTGCACCACGCCCACGACCCCCCCCCCCCCCCCCCCCACACACACACACACACGGAAGGGAAGCGCTCCGCGTGCAACATGAGTCAAACACACGGCAGCGAAATGTCCATCTCAGTCAGCATTTCTGCTCCCAACTATTCAGCTTGCTCATTCGGTTTCATTTACTATTTTTAGACTAACGTGACCCACACGAATGCCGCGTAAAAATGGACTCACTTTCCGTTCTTCTCCATTTCACCATACATCCATCCATCCCTCTCATCAGGGATGAGCAGGAGGATGACGTCTCCCTCGTCGAAGCTGAGCAGCGTGCTGTTGTTGCCAGCCGTGTGGGGGAAGACGGTTCGGACGCGCGGCCTCTTCGCCATGTTGTTGAGGCCCGTGGCTACAGACACCGACCTGGCAAGATTACCCTCGTCACCGTTTCCGTGGTCTGTGAAGGAAACGGACCAAAACAAGGTGGGAGCACAACATTAGAGATGAGACGTGAAAAGTTTAACGTCATGCTAACTAAACTTATAAGTGATTTGAGGACTTTGACACATTTAACAGAAATGAAAGATGTTTTAATTAAAAACTGTCTCATGCCTGTGCTGTGGTTAGTAGTTGCAGGAGTATTTACGCTGGTAGGATTGTTGTCCTGGTTGAACATATTAACCAGAGGGGTGGTCTGAGCCTTCTTGAGGGGAGCTGGAGGAGCATAGATGTTCTGCAACGGAGAAAATCAATAAAATCCATTATTTCAGAAACCGCAGGTGGGAAACTGGTATTCTCTAAATCAAACCCATTTAATCCATCACAACACCTCATATAAAATAAAACACCAACTCCTGTAGAGGAACCGACCCAAACATCATTAACTCTGATGAGAAAACATACGTCACCTGATCTGTTTCTGATCAGCTGTGCTGTAGGACAAGTGATCTTGTAGTGTGTAGCTTTAGGGGCTCTTTAGGAGTCTAGTTCACGTTAACAGATACTTTTCTGCAAGAAAATTCTAACGTCAAGGAGACAAAAATTATTTTGTTCTGTAGATCAAAAATATTAGTTTACGTTAAAAAAACCTCCAGCACAGTAACCAGTATTTATACAAGGTTTTGCTTTTTCATGCAGAGCGGTGCTCGTCTATGCCTGCATGCAAACAATAACAAGAAATGCAACAACTCTGGTTTAGTCCCTGCTGCAGAGTTTTCTTTAAACAAACGTTTGTTTGGGGTTTATTCCTAACTAAGTAACGCAACAGCACGGCTACACTTGACTAAAGATTGGGGCTAAGGTGGCTCAGGTGTTAGGAGTTGGTGGGTTGTTGGTTTGAACCCAGTCTCCTTCAGTGCCAGTCACCTTACCTGCTGGTGGCGGTCGGAGGGACCGTTGGCACCTGCACAGCAGCCTCGCCTCTGGCTACACTGTAGCTTTATCACCACCGGTGTGTGAATGTGTGTGTGCATGGATGAATGACTATAAAGTCCTTTGAAATCATAATGTAAAACAGCATTCAGCATCCATCAGACCACACTCCACTGACTGTCCCCTTCACCCTCCCACTGTTACCACGCTGCGTCGTGATGGGGATGGGGACGGCATCGGTACGACGGTGACGGGCTTGCGGAGATCTTCGATCATAGACAGAACGCTCTCAGGCATGTTGGTGGCATCGTTGCACTGGTCCTGCCAGCTGCCAAGCTTGGACGTCAAAATGTCTCTGGCCTTCATGAGCAGTCATGCAAATAAGAAAAGATAGTGAAGGAAATCTTCAGCAACCAGTGAATAAACAAAACATGTCTGTTTCCATAGCGACCTGATGGATCGTGGCCGTTAAGTCAAAGGGGCTCGACACACGGGAGGCGACAAACGACCGCGATCAGCGAAATTCCTCGCCGTCGCTTTCATTACATTACACACAGGAGGCGATCCGCGGCAGCGGCCAGCGGCAAAGCCGTCTACGCGTTCTGTTCCATGGTGAAATCCAAACTTCTGTTGTTTTGATTGGCTGTGTCAGTTTGGAGGGAATTAAGGTTATTTAAGCGGTTCAGAGTTAAAAAAGCGGTAGATATGATGTTTCACAAGGTGCTGCTAGAGTTATGTGAAATCTAACTTCTGATTTTACTACATAAAACATAATAATAATCAACTTCTCCTCCATGTTTGCTCGGAGATGTACGGAGCATCCTGTCCACTCATTGGTCAGTGAATAAAACCTCCGTTGATTGGTCCTCGTCCCAGCGACGGCGATGAAAAATTGAAAATATTTCAACTTTCTGGTATCGCGTCGCTGGGTCACCTGTGCACGAGCGCAAAATTTCACACGCACGTTTTTCGTGTTTCGCTTGGTAGGAGGGAGACCCGCGAAAATGAATGGAGGAGAGGCGATGTCGCCTCCCGTGTGTCGAGCCCAAAAGAGTTTAAAGTGACATATAAATAATATCATGATCGGTGATATAATCTAAGATTCTGATTTACGACTTCAGTCTTGTCTCTAAAAACAAAGAAAATCTGAATTTGTTTCAAAAGTTTTACTAAATGTACTTTTGTGTTTAACTTTGAAACTTGTGAGCAGATGAGAACTATTTGTTTTTCGATAATCAACATTTTTATTTTCCAGCTGTTGAACACAGTCCAAACACACGAAACAAAGTTTGTCACCATTTACCTCCACACTTCACTTTTTGTCCTTCAGATCAGGGTTTCCCAACCCTGGTCCTCAAGGCACACTGTCCTGCATGTTTCCCTGCTGCCACACACCTGACTTAAATGAGTGATTAACAGGCATCTGCAGCACTTGATGTCCTCCTGAGGAGCCAATATAAATCAGGTGTGCTGAAGCAGAGACATGGAAAACATGCAGGCCAGTGTGCCCTGAGGACCACTGCTTTAGATAAACACGAGCAGTGGCCTTGGATGTGAACAGCTTCATGCTGGCGGGTATTAAGATCGACAGGATTTAATGATAATTTGAGATATTAGCTTTGCATTCTTTACTGCGGTTATAGCTTGACTGGAGCACTGATGTTTTCAGCTTCTGTTACCATATACAGCTCTAAAAGAAAGTACATTTGTTTTGAGTCAGTAATGCTTGATGGCAAGTGGTGTAACGTCCCTGTCGTGCATTTATTTAGACAATAAAGGTTTAGTTATTTCAGCAACGACAAGACATACTTCATGCTGGTAACTATCCACCACCCCGCTGGTCTAAACACTGAAAATCCCTTTTATTTATTGCTGTACAACTCCAACCAAGGTTACTTTGACCTCTTGTTCAAAATATTTTCTACTTTCTTTATTATGACTTTTATTATGCCCACAGACATCTGATCAAACTTGACCATGCCCAGTTTTGAATTGATGCTTCTGAACAGTTTAAAAGCAGCACAGAGAGACTATCACTGTAAAACTCAGCGAGTATGAGTGTCCTTTACCTTGTCATGGTAGGAAGCAAAGTGATAGGTGAGCATGCAGTGTTTGTCCACCAGGAAACAGAAGCGTCGCTTCTCCTCCAGCAGAGCCTCCTTGCAGCTATCAGCCACAAACAACTGCATGTCCGTCTGGCGACCTGTCAGCGTTTCTAGGCACTGAGGACACACAAACACTTAAAGTTGCTTCAAAAACAATCATAGCATCAGTATATAAGTGCATATGAACCCATCAGGACCACCAGATTTGACTGTGGTTGAGTTTTGTTTAAAGAGCCTTCCTCCGGTAGGTGACTACAGACTCTTATCTCACCTTGCACCTGTTTTACAGACACAGAAACCCTTTCATTGTTGATGAATTACAACTACCCAACAAGGGTGTATTACATGAAAAGGAGCGGCGCTTTTTTCTTAAAATTCTAATCTCTCTCATGCAGGGAAACAGGTATTGTTGGTTTGTAGTTTGGTGTGTTGACAAACTGGGCTGCAGGTAGTATTTAAGGGAAAATAAGCAACAACGTGAAAGACAAGCCACTGGTTTGTGTTATCTACACCGACAGCCTGGGGTTACAAGAGGTTAAAAGGTCATGAAGGGGTTCGCCGTTTAGCTTTTTCAATGTCAGTTCTACACAATCTTATTTAATCTTGGATTATTACATTTTTTTAAGAGGATCAACACAATTAAACTTTATAAAAACTCATTTGTCACTCTCGACAACGCCAACAAACACTGAGAGGCAGAGTTTCAGTCAACAGAAGGGGTGTTTGTCCTCTCCAGAGGTCATAAGGTGAGTCACAAATGATTAAAATCTGACTGAACCTGCTTCTTTTCACATTGACCCTGATTTCTTGTTACAGATCCATATCTCACCCAGCTAGCTGGAAGTGGCACGCCTGTAACGGCTGTTAGCACACAGACGCACCCCCGCTCTGCTCAGCCTTCTGATGGCTCCTTACAGGCTTTGATTACCTGTAAGGTGAGGCGGGGCATCTACTGTTGATCATTTCCCTGGAAATACTCCACAAATAGATCACAGTACTCATTTAGTTGGACAGTATTAAAGATCAAAACAGAGCAAGAAACACGTGAATAGGTGTAGATTCCCCTCATGGCCTTGCTGCCGCTCTCATGGGCGTTCAACACCCAGCAGCCATTTTTACTCCTCACGAATGACAACAGCCTATTTCATGACCACTTATTCATTTGCTTGTCTTTTGTTGGCAGAAAGCTCTACATGAACCAGTTGCTGCTGCCGTTTCCCCACACAGACTGACCTTTGTGATAACTTAAACAAGCAGATGCAAATTTCACAAGCAAACACACAAATTCTCTTTAGTAAAGATACCAAAAGTAAAGAATCATTTCCCCTCATTAGGCTCCTGCTTTCAGATGCTGTTTGTGTAACTGTCCCTTTATGGCAAGCATATTTCTAACAAGCAGCTGTGTGACGATAGAGAAACTTGGAATTCTGATTTTATTATTGAACATTGAGATAAAACATTAGGTGAGATAAACTGCCCTTTCCATCCTACCGTCGCAACACTTCCTTTGATGTTCATCAATATTAAAACTGAGGACTTTTATTTACAGGAAACCAGTCAACCCCTGATTTCAGCAAACCTGTATTTTCAATGAATATTTAATATTATTAGGTTGTGCTTACTGAGCATGAATAAAGACTAAATTTAACCCATAGCAGCACTGGTGCGGAAGTAAGGCTGTTCAACAGACAAGCGTTATTTTTACTACAAAACTTTTTATTTTTGAGGCTCTAGACTGAATGAAGTGTTAAATCTGTAGACTGAGACCGTGCCAACTCATAGAATATGTGTCATTAACAGACAACATCATGACACAGTTTTAAGTCCATGTAGCTTACTGATACTTTCAAGGGGCCGTAGTACGGAAAATTCACTTTTTGGACCTTTTTAGCATGTGAAAAATACCCCAAACCTATTTTTGGCTGCATTCATGCATTTTCCCATTTCAGCTGCAAATTTTGAAATTTATTTTAGAAAATCCTGACAAGCCCAAATGTAAAGTTTGTACATAATACCGTCTTCTGCCTCCCGGAGGATTACCAGGGTCTCGCCCTAGAGTCAGGCCTGGGGTTGGGGCCCGTGAGCGAGCGCCTGGTGGCTGGGCTTTCGCCCATGGGGCCCAGCCCGATCCGGATACATAAGCTCATCCAACTGTAGACCCATCGCCTGCAGGAGGAACATTAAAGGTCCGGTGCATTGTGGAGACCAAAGCGGACAAGGAAACTGGCTATTGGGACATGGAACATCACCTCTCTGGCAGAGAAGAAGCTGGAGCTTGCAGAAAAGGCTGAGCGGTACCGGCTAGATATAGTCGGAATCACCTTTATACATTGCACTGGAACTGAAATGCTTGAGAGGGGTTGGACTTTTTGCTTTGCTGGAGTTGCTCTGGGTAAATGATGAATGATAAATGACCCGCACTTGTACAGCGCCTCTCAGAGTAAGGACTCCAAAGCGCTTTACACTACAGTGTATCATTCATCCATTCACACACACATTCACACACTGATGGTGATGAGCTACAATGTAGCCACAGCTGCCCTGGGGCGCACTGACAGAGGCGAGGCTGCCGAGCACAGGCGCCACCGGTCCCTCCGACCACCACCAGCAGGCAAGGTGGGTTAAGTGTCTTGCCCAACAGCAGAATTCTCTGTCCGGAGCCGGGATCGAACCTGCAACCTTCCAATTACTGGACAACCCGCTCAACCTGTTGAGCTACTGCTGCCCAAGGTAAGAGGCAGACGGCAGCGGTTGGCTTTCTGTTGGCCCCAAAACTCTCGGCCTGTATGTTGGGGTTTACCCCGACATACAGGCCGAATAGCAGGGCAGTGTACCCACCCGTTTTGGAGTCCCTGGGGCAAGTGCTAGATGGTGCTCCAACTGGAGACTCCAATGCTCACGTGGGCAATGACAGTGTGATTTGGAGCTGCGGGTTTGGATGCACATCGGTATACATGGTACCAGGGCGACCTAGGCCACAGGTCGATGATTGAATTTATAGGCCATATGCTTTGGACACTCAGGTGGAGAGAGAAGTGGAGCTGTCAAATGATCTGCCTGGTGGTGAGCTGGATCAGATGGTAAGGGAAGGTGCCATGCAGACCTGGCAGGTCCAAAGGTAAAGTGAGGGTCTGCTGGGAATGCCTGGCAGAAGAAGCTGTAAAGATGGTCTTCAACTTCCACCTCCAACAGAGCTTTGACCGCATGCCGAGAGCAGTGGGGAACACTGAGCCCGAATGGGCCCCGTTTCGCTCTGCGATTGTTGAGGCAGCTGTAGCTAGCTGTGGTCGTAAATTGGTCGGTGCCAGTCGTAGTGGCGCACCTGCTGGTGGACAACGGAAGTTAGGGAGCTGTCAGGCTGAAGGAAGAGGCCTACAGGGCATGGTTGTTTTCTAGGTCTCCAAAAGCATCTGACAGGTACCAGACGGCCAAGCAGGCTGCAAAAGTGGCAGTAAGAGGCAAAATCATGGAAGTGGGAGGAGTTTGGTGATCAGCTCCAGAAAGGTTCTGGCAAACCATCTGATGCCTCAGGAGAGAAAGGCAGCAACTCGCACACACTGGTTTCAGTGGGGAAGGGGGTCTGCTGACGTTGACTGGGGCGATAGTTGGGAGGTGAAAGGAATATTTTGAAGAGCTCCTCTCTCCCACCGACATGCATTCCGAGGAGGAACTGGAGCTGGTCAAAAATGGCCAATAAAAATAAATTATAGTTAAAAATATATTTTTTTTAGCATTTATTACGCAGATATTTTTCAGGAATGTAAATATGCATTAAAATTAAATAACGCAGCAGGCCCGGGCTGTCTGGGGATGTGCCTGACTTTAAAACGGCTTTTCTACAGAGGTATATCGGCCAATGCAAATATATAAAAAATGTTACATATCAGCCAACCGATAAATCAGTTTACCGCTAATTTTAGTCATTATGGGATTTTTTTTGTAGGGAAACTGGCTGTGATCCTAAACTGAGCTGAAACAAAAATCCAAAAACGTGTGTCCCAAAAATGGCGTAGCAGATCTTTACTAACATGCACGCAAATGGGCTGTGAAAGTAATACAAAATTAATAAAAAGACAAGAAGAAAAAGTCACAAAGAAAAACAAACAAAAAAAATAAATAAAATAAATTAAACTTTTTATAAATGTCAACATCAGAGTCTACTGCTGTTGGCAACCTGCGTCTGTCCTGAGAGACATGATGAAGGAAAGAGAAAATGTTTAGATCTAAACAACATAAGAAAATAAACTCCTATTTTATTTTTCTATCCATAAAAGAATGTAAATCTCCGTCTCTATTAATCTTTGGTACAAAGTGATCCATTTCAGAGTGGCTTTTATCAGCTGGTTGACACTTTTTTATTTTATTTTTACATCTCGTGTCTGCACAGTCCCTGTGATGAACCATGCAGTCCTAAAACTTATTGTCAGCCCGTTGGCAGACGTCTACCTTCCCTCCTCACTCCTGAAGCTCGGCCCTGAATCAAAAAAGTCAGCAGGTAGGGCAGCAAGTCAACCGCTTCACATGTAATCTGGAGGGCGGGGGATGGGCAGAAAAGAGAAGAGAAAGGGCAAACAAAGGAGGGAAAGATGAAAGGATTGGTGAAGAATAAAGAGAAAGAAAAGAAAAGTCACTTCTCAGAAGCAACAGGAAGACTTCCTCATGTTGCATATTTCTTGTTTTAGTTGTTTCAAAAGGTAAAAGGGGACAGAAGCAGCTCAAGAAAAACACCATTTTTGTTACGTTTTTATAAACCTTTGAGAATTAACTGAAACTAAAGACTAAAAACTAAACTTTTAAACATGAATATTGTTTAAAAAAAGTTGCATAAACAAGACTCATCTACTTTTCTTCATGGTTTATATCTGCTAATTTGTTTTTGTTGAATAAATAAAATCAAGATTCTTCTGAATGTTTGTGCAGGACGTCGGTCCCTCTGCAAACCCAGAGTCAGCGCTGTTGACAGAAAACACAGAACCTGCCTTGGCGAATGGGCTGCCTGACGGGATCCATGAAAGCAGGTTACGTAAGAAGCTCTCTGGGACTGAAATTTAAACTGGTGCCATCGTGGTGAGGGTGTGGCGCTTTCCATCTTACAACAACATGCCTCAGTAATTTAATATTCTACAGGAAATTATTATGTACATAGTGGTTACATGCTTAAGGCAACAATGATATAATCAGGAAAAGGTTGTATTTATTTCTATGTAACAGACTGATCTTTAGAAAGTCACAAATTTGGGGATCTTTCCACGAGTTGAGAAGAAGTTGACCAGTTTGGATCTCTGAAGCTTCTCAACATTTCCTGAGTATTTTATCTGAAAAGCAAGGTGGTGCAACGGGCGGGGCGTGTTCATGAAGCAGACAAAGAAAACCAGGATCTTCGGCTCAAGAAGTATCACACCATCCTGTCGACACCTGCTCGGACACGGAGCAGCTCAGATGTCAAGTTTATGAATGAAAACAATGTAATGATGCCTCTGCATAGATGAACATGGCTGTCTGAGCGTGACACCCACCTCCACGCCACGCTTCACATAACCAAGGGTGTTAGTGTGTCCGTCTCACCTCGCTCTCCTTGTTCTCGTACTTGTTGGCGTTTTTGCCTTGGCTCTTCCTTCTCAGCCTCTTCAGGTCTGCATGGGCCTTCTCCAGAGAATCCTGCTTCATCTTGTTCTCCATCTGGTATCTCTTAAACGTGGCCTGGATTAGAGGAATGATTCACGTGAACGCTGGCAACACAAAGCTGATGATTTATTTATCAAAAGATTAAAGTAAATTTGCAATTGTACTAAACAATACAGCTCGCATTTTAGATTTAAAAAGGGACAAAATTAATGTTTTCCTGTATAAACTCATGTTTCCTGGTTTATTCTGGGTGACTAAAGCTAAGATCATATCTGATGCTCTTTCCTCATTCCACCTGACTTAGGGTCATTATACTAGAACAGATGACTATTACTGAGCGTTGCAGAAATGTGAAAGGTGGGTGATAATGTTTTTGCCTGCAAGTTAAATTATTTGTAGTTAAAAAAGAATCTCATGGAACACTGGATAGATTTGAACCTTCAAGAGGCCCTTTAAAATCCTGACATTAATCTGCAAGGACACAAAATGTGTTCAAATCAAACATACATTTAAATTCAAAACTATATTATTGTGAGTTTAACCCTTTAAATATCAGAATGTTTAATTAACACAGTTATTTTTGTAGAAAAGACAGAAGCAGTAAAATTATTATTGCTGTTATTTTTATTATTATTTTATTATTATTACTGTTATTATTATTGTTATTTTACTATTATTATTATTACTACTGTTATTATATTATTACTGTTATTATTATGATTATTATTATTACTATAATTATTATTGTTATTATTATTGTTAATATTATTATTATTATTATTTGTTATTATTATTATTATTATTTCTAGTGTAAAAGCAGCTGGTGATTTGCATTTTACTCTTAATTCAATTTAAATATATATTTTTTTATTTTTGGCCCATATTAATATTTCCTTTTCCAAAACAAATAACCAAAACATAATTAATTCAATAAAAAGATGGGTAGCAACAATTGTTGAGTGTAGGAAAAAGCTAAAGCTCATTATACTTTCATTTGTTTGCATCCAGCATATTTAAAAAGATCTTGCATTCAATCAAGGGATGCTTAATTATTTTAAAGAGGTCCTTTACTTATATTTTAATACATTTGTCTCTAGTAGGATTGAATGCCTGGTACGTCGACCTCTGGGGGAATAAAAGCTCTGGTGGGCCTGTTTTAGCATGGAGAATCCAGCTGGAGGAGAAAGTAGCTTTATTTACATTTGGTCTTATTTCCTGATATTTGGACATCTCACGTCTGACTGGCTAACGGCAAACACAACTTTAATATTTATGTTTCATCTCCACAACTAACACAAGCCTGGAGGAGTTCTGCTGTGTGGTGGAGCTACTAATGCTAACAGTTAGCTTCTACTAGCCAATATGTTCTCTGCTGTTTCTTGGACCCTAAACCAACAGCCTTCCCTGTCGTGAGACAAGATGGTGAGTCCATGAATGTTACATGGCAGTTCAACATAGATCTGCCAGGCTATCTATTTTACATCAGAAGCTAATGCAGGAGATGGCTGTAGGAGACCATTTTCATGTTCAACCTGCATGTAAATATTATAAAATGGTTTTTCAGTGAGCCTCCTCTTTGAAACATCAAAAACATTTTTTTGCATCACTGCAGCAACACTGATGCAAAAACTAGAGATTAATCGTAGACTGACATATTTCAGGACAATGTTTATAAACATATCCGTTCATTTCTCTACTAATAATCAGCCTTGATTAAATTGTATAAAATGACTCCTTACTGCAGTAAAATAAAACCTTATTTGTTTCATATGTTGTGTGGCTGATATAACCCACTTTAAATTAATTATCATCCCTACAGTCATAATGACAGAAAATTACAGCCTCAGAGTGAAACATGTGGCCAGATTTTGGTGTTATTCCTTCATTAATCCTCTCAAGCAGCTCATCATGTCCATGACCACAAATATCTGGACATTTAACTTTAACGATTTGTGCATCTCATCACTGAGATGACACACAAAACACACTTTTACATGACAGAATGTGTTCTTTTGAGGGTGAGTGAGTTTTGCAGCTGCTCAACCCTTTGCGACCGGCGGGAACGCCGGCGCTCCCATTTGCATATCTGTGTTCAAATGCTTGTAGAACAGAAACTATCTAAGATAGGACAAAATGTTTTTTTGCCTAATTAACCAGAGGAGTTACACTTGAATCTCACACCATGAACATGTCCCAGAGCCCTGCGCGTTTTTGCAAAAAACAACCAAAATGCACAAAGAGGAAAAGCGTTTTCATTCAGACACAGATGCTGTCGTTCTGATCTGCAGCTCACAGGGCTTCACACGCTAGAATAAACGTGAACTGTCACATGATTATCACTTACCCAATCACTTGCTTTGACGACATTTCCCCACGAATTGTAGTTCTTTGTAGTCCCAGTCTTTTGGCTTTTTCGCATCACACACCACTATGAACATTTTGATGAATCGCGGACCCGCCAAACGGTACATTCTCCCTCCTCAAAGCAGCTGATGCCATTACAGCGCTGGGTGGTGTTTAAGTTTCTGTTGCCTCATGTATATATTCATGCAATATTCTTTATTATTGTTATTATTATTAGTGAGAGAAAAAGAAAACTTTATACTACTGAAAAGTTAGCGACAAATATTCAACAATAATATATTAGACTTCTGCTGATTATTAATATTTATAAGAAACTAATTTATAAAAGCACTTCAAATAAATTTGTTGTTTGAAAGGATTGTGTGCAACTTTTTTTCATTGATAATTTTCAGGGATAAAGCTGCGGCATTTCTGTATAATGAAAAGTATGTATAAAACAAAAAACTATTTTCAATTTCTGCATGGATAATTGCAATTTTGGTATAATATTTAGTTGCTATGAACATTTTACGTTTATATTATTAAAATTTAGAATGCAAGGGTTGTTTTGATGTATAGAAAGTTGAAATACTCCAAAAAATGGCACCACAGTATGTAAAAAACGTAAATTTAAGTTCTGGCGAACTTGTTCTATGCAGGTCTTAAAGGATTAATGATCAAAATGCACACCAACACAAAAACCACTCACTGTCATGTATTTGACATCCATGTCAGTCTTCCTCTCCAGCTCAGCGACGACCTCCCTGTGGAACCTCTTAAACTTCAGGTGAAGAGGAGGAGGGACGAGACAGAAGAGAGAGAACAGTGGTGATTATAAACCTGAGGGGAACCATTAAGGACTAGCTTGTCAGCGTTGCTGCCAGCGGCAAACTGGGAAAATGCAGTTTAGCCTCAGAGAAACATGGAAAGTGATCATTTAGAGTGCGGTGGCGAGCGTGAGCGGAGGCGACAGCCGAGTCCAAGGTTGTGCTTATGAATGAGTCAGAAACAAAGCGTGGGAATGCCCATAGTCCTCCATCACATTAGCTCTCTCGCTCCAGCTCTCATCCGTCTGCAGGTGTCAATGTGTTCATCTCAGGCGGTGTTGCAATCCGATGTTTGCATCCACCCACGGTGGATCCCAGGTTCAGGAGACCCCACATCTTAGCTGATGACCGTAAAGGCTCAGAACACATAACGCCTCTAAAATATTTTCTTTTTGGATTGTTTTCTCTGACCTGAACTGGTGCTTTTACTTACAAACTGGAGATTTTAACTAGACAACTGAGTTCTGTTAGCCTTTTCTCACTGAAGTGATCTGCAGCTTGTGAGCTGAAGGTCATTTTTAAAGACCAAGCTCACTTGTTTTTTTCCAACACATCGGTAGTGGTCTCCGGCATAAATTAATGCCTTGAGTCAATCTCTGTAGTGAAAAAAGCTCCGGCGCTCCCGTTTCAGGAAGTAGACGTTAGCTAGAGGACAGGTGAGCAGAAGAGGGCAGGTTTTGGAGTTAATCCTATTTCCAAATGGGGGTAGAGAACTATTTTCATGTTAAGCCTGCATGTTAAACCCAGAGTGACCAACCTTACTTCAAAAACAAGTAAAAAACGGTTTCTCGTAAACCTTGGCCTTTAAAAGTCATTCTCAAACTGGAAATTTTGTAAGGTTCTCCATAAAATACCCTAAAGGTATTTTCTTTGACTGTCTTATTGTTAATAATTTTATTACAAAAACACATACAACTGTAGTCAAACACTTAACCACTCTGCTCCTAATACATTTGCCAAAGGTGACCAGGATTTAATGAAGAACTCCAAAGAACCTCTAAGAACATGTGAGGTTGTTTCTAATGGTAGAGCGGACGTCAACAACTGATAACGGTCATTAAAATACTCAACAATATTGAAATTGCACCTTTTCCTAACGTTGCGAAGGACTAACTGGTATAGTAGTTATTTCACTCAAAACCGAACGTCAGCGTGTTACATTAGGCTAAAGGAGTGGTTTACTGGTTTAATCAAGGCATTAGCAGTGGTCTCTGGTAGGAATGAATGCCTCACAGACAGAACTCAGGGCACACAAAAGCCCCAAAACACCTGGCCCAGCACGACCAAGTATGCGACATCAGAGCTGTGCTTCAAACGGGAGGATTTTAGAGTCAATATGGGCGAGTCCAATTCACAGTGTGACATAGATCTGTCAGGCTTTTCAAATCCTAGATTTCCTATCAGAAGCTAATGCAGGAGATAGGTGTAGGAGACAACTTTCACATCCAGTCTGGATTAAAAGTTCAGAGTGATCGATTATAATCAGAAACAATCATTAAAAATATGGTTTCTAAGTCGACTGCACCTTTAAACAAAAGCAGGCGACAGCAAATGAAGTCTGATGGATCAGATGAGCTTTGGTTTCAGCCCAGATACTTTGACGCAGGAGCAAAAAATCTTGTTTCTTTACTAATTTAGTAGTTTCTTTCAGAACGCCAGGGGTTGACTCAGACACGACTTATTCAGTCACCACCAGATGAAAGGAAATTAGAGCCTGTACAAAAACTGCTTTAATTAATCTCAGTACAACACCTCCAGCTGATATTCAGCAGGGCATGTTTAGACTTGCAGAGGACACAAATGATGACAATGTGCTCCCGTCCCGTTCTCATCTGAATATTTTACTTGTGGCTACACTAGATGCTGTAGGTGGGGGAGGAGATGAGCGTTTACTAGAGCAGATGAGCAGAGCCGGATGTACTGGTGGACAATGAGACCAGACAAATGCCGCTTTGTCAACGGAGGTTCAGTTTCAAGTCATGTGGAAAGATACAAATCAACAAGTTGAGAGAAAGAGTGTCTTATGATAGCAGACACAATCATGGAAGGCAGAGGTCGTGTATGTGACCTTTAGAAGACTCACATTTTCCTCAAGCTCCAGTTGGGCCTTCCTGTGGACCTCTGAGATTTCGATCAGCACGGCACCTGTGAGACCGAAACAACCAGGGAGTGAGGTTAGAGATGGACAGGAGAGTGGTTCCTCAGCTGTTCCTCCACTGATGGAGATCATTTAAAGTTACTGTACAACATTCTCTAAACAAAAATGAGCACAACGTGCCAAAAAAAGAAGAAATGTGTTCATGTAGCTTTAAAGCAAATGTAGATATGCGACTCAACCAGAAAATCTTGACCACCTGCTTCTTTAGTAATAAAAAGGAGATCAGAAACAAACTTTAATCCAAGTCCAAATTAGGATTAAAGCAGGGCCAACGATATTAAATCTCCCACTGACCACTTTGTGTAAGCTGATGTAATCACAAATATTTGAATAATATCTAAGAATACTTGAGGATCAGGTTGACGCAGGTATTTAAATCAGACAAAAACGTTTCCAGTCTGATGCTTCAACCAAACTAATGAAGATTTCAGATTCCCCGGTGCTTTTCCAGGACTGAAGATTTAGTTTTTACTTAGCAAATAAAAAGTATCAATTAAAATGTCTATTTAAAAAGTATCATACTGTGTTTTTTATTGATTTTGACAAACTCAAGTTATAAAGGAGCGAGATATTACAAAGCAAATTTTTGTAACTAATCAAGAACACTTAAAAAACTAAATGATAAAAGAAGTGTTGTTGGTAGATAATGCATGAAGCTGTACTTGTGTGACTTAAATAAGTCAACAGTGTAGCAGACTGGTGCATCTGCTGGTAAATGTTACAGCAGCCAGTTCCTCACTTATCTGCAACAAGAGCAAGTTTGATTAATAGCATGGTTGTGTTTTCTGCTGGAGGACATTTTATTTTCTTCCCTGACTTTTAAAAACATTTAAATCATTTTAATTAAACACGAACATCTCCACTCTGCAGCCATACTGAGGGTAGTTTTGGTACTGTGTGTCAGACAACCTTCCCGCTGACTTGTGTCTGTTTTAGAACAAAC